CCTTTAGCAGGCGACTGAGAAAGGAGATATAGTCGGCCCATTCTTGTAGAGCGTTGTCGAACAACGAAAGCGCTCTCTCAACGCTGGACGCATATCGGCGGTAGTGTTTGTCTTTCTTGAGGGACCCTAAATCCACCAGAATGATTAGACTTGATCTCTATTGCACACAATCGTGGTCGCTTACCTTCCTTGCCCTGTAGCCGGGAGCGCGTCAAGGAGCTCTCGGAGCTTGCGGGGGAGTTCGACCTCGGAAAGGCACTGGGATCAAGGCTCATGATGCCAATGACGGACGTAGAATCGGTGTGTAAGCTTCAGACTGACCTCCGTCATATTTAGGACATCAAAGATGACCCTGTGGGAGAGGGAGTTGACGGTTGAATGTTGCCCAGAAGCCACGCACGCGGCCACGTTCGATTGTTTTGTTCCGCCTTGGAGCTCCGACTCGCCGACGTCAGTGTCCAACGTCTCCCACGTACCCTTCAAGCTACGGATATTTGAGAATAACAATGCGCATTTAATGAACTATTGACCCGCGACGAGCGACCGCGTAAAACAGCGCATGCCCGCAGCGGGAATGAAGTCACAGCAAGACCCAAGAAGCGACGGCCACGAGCCCGCCGAGATATCCGAACAAGCCTCTATTCCCAAGACGCCAGACACCCATCATGATAAGCGCAGTCCAAGTCCAGAGGGGGAACGGCCGCCTCTACCCCCACGGCCCAATACACTGAGTCTGTTGAACGATGAAACGGCGTCTCGGGCGACTTTACAAGCGGAGGCAACAACTGCTGTCTCACGAATGGATATCGGGACACAGTCATCAGATGCTGGAAGTACCCATTCTACAATGGCTCTTCGTGGCTTGCCCCGAGGTCCAAGGGCCAAGACGAGCCTGAGCCAGTTGACAAGCTCGCGGGGCAGCGAAGCGGGAGATTCGGCCAGCATTCGCAGTTCGATTCTGAATACTGAAAATGGAGATGATGGGGCTCTCTTTACAGACTTTGTTGCTACAGCGCCTGGTGGTCAACTGCAGGATTCGACAGGTCTACTCAATTTCCCCGAATTTGCTGCCGATGATATAGATGATGATGGGATTCTGAGCGAATTCGAATCTATTGGCGAGCTGAACGAAGAAGGTGACAATGAAGGTATGATACTTCTAATAGCACCTAATCTTGTCTTGTCATGTGTCTAATTCGTCCTAGAAATTCTCCTCCAACGGTGGAAGGCGAAGCGCAAACACTACGTGATCCTGTCCGCTGCTGGCAAGCCGATTTGGACAAGACATGGTGACAGTGGACTGATATCTGGCTATGTCGGAGTTATTCAAACGATCATATCTTTCTATGAGGATGCAGATGATCATCTCCGAGGCTTCTCTGCTGGTGACACTAGGTTTGTTGTCTTGACTCGGGGCTCTTTGCACCTCGTCGCAATCAGCCGCATGATGGAAAGCGACAATCAACTTAAACTTCAGCTGGAAGCATTATATATGCAAATTCTATCTACATTGACACTGCCTTCACTCACTCATCTCTTTTCTGTTCGGCCATCTACCGATTTGAAACGGCCTCTGCAAGGCTCGGAGTCTCTTCTCTCATCTTTAGCGGACAGTTTCACACGAGGATCTCCATCTACATTACTATCTGCTTTGGAATGTCTCAAGATCCGCAAGCAACATCGCCAAACGATCAGCAATGCGCTTCTAAAAACAAAAGCCAGCAGTCTTTTGTATGGCTTAGTGGTGGCTGGCGGACGACTTGTTAGTGTTGTCCGTCCAAAGAAGCACTCCTTACATCCAGGCGATCTGCAATTATTATTTAACATGGTTTTTGAAGCCGATGGTGTCAAGGCCGGAGGCGGAGAGAGCTGGATTCCCGTCTGCCTGCCTGGCTTCAACAGCAGCGGTTATCTCTATATGTATGTCAGCTTCCTTGACATTCGCGACGATATCGAAAACAGCGCAGAAATCACCAAGGACGAGTCTGTTGCCATTGTCCTTATCAGTCCAGACAAAGAAGCTTTCTTTGAAATGCAAGGAATGCGTGATGCCCTTGTTGAGGTAAGTAAAACTTCGATATGCTTCGAATCTTGTGTTCGGTGCTAATGGTGTGGTAGCAAATGGGGAAGAACGGCAGTCTAAAGGAGATCAAGACAGCAATTGGCAATGGCCGGCCCGCTACTACTGATATAGTTCCTGGAACTGTCCTCCATCACTTCCTATACAAGTCTCGTGCCAACGTACAATTTACCATGTCATCCTACTCGCCTGAATTCTCATCATTGACTCGGCGGCGAAGGTCAGTCAAACTTATTGATAACACAAATAATATGAGACCACTCTGCTCTAACTCTGACCATAGACTGATGTCGATGTACAACAACCTACACTCGAGCATCCATGCCAAAAACACCCACGTCAAAGTTCACCACTGCGTTTCACGATCTGTCAGCTCTTTTGGCTGGGTGACCCCCGTCTTTGAACTCTATTGTATTGCCGAACCGAATACGAACCGAAATGCACTTGCTCAAAGTGCCAGCAAAGTTGCTCAGTGGGTTCAACGTGAGGAAGAGAGGCTATTCATCATCGGTGGTGCGGTATGTATATCCCCTTATAGCTCTCAATCTAATATCGACAAGGCTGACAATGATAACCAGGTTTTCTGAAAATGCATAATGCATCGAAGTCTTGCTAAGTCAGATCAATCTTCTCTGTACATATCTCTATAGTTATTATACCCAATCCGGCGCTGTCCATCATTCGGCGTCTTACTACTTGCAGTAAGGATTACCTTTTCTATTATTACTAGGCTGTATATGGGGCTGTTTCGATAAACATGATTGTATTCATTCGTTGTGCCACTCCATGCTCTAAAAGGTAATTGGAAAGTCCATACGTTAATCTAATCAATCGACTCCTCGCGCAAGGCAAAGAGCTGGCGCATGATCTCACTCGACTTGCTCCGCAATGCGTCATGGTACATGTTGTTGGCGATGAACTGCTTGATGTTCGGAACCTTGGCAACGGTGGCTTGCACATGATCGAAGTGTACGTACATGTCTTCCATGTAGGTTGTGCTGTAAACAGGGACCTGGTTCTTGGCCAGTTGAGCCTCATCGTAGAGATCAGGCCAGTCATCGGTTGTAGCCAGGATCTCTGCTGCTTCTTTCACCTGCTCGAGCTCCGTGTAGGAATCGAACATGTCTTTGAAGACCTAAGGTACATATTGATGTTAACCATTTCGGTTGGTACTCCGATCATGGAGGGTTACATGACTTACCATTTCGCCTGTGAAGTAAATTTCAGGCACGGAGTCATTGATCTGGAACTTTGCGTTGGTTGAGCGCAGTCTGTCTGCGGACCAGAGCGATGCTTTTCTGTGCGGATTGTCAGAGTCACATATCAACAGATAATGAGAGACCGTTTGCTTACCCTTGGCAATAGATCGATTCATGAAGGACGGCATATACAATGTTCTTGTCCATGCCTCCATTGTTGTCAATAACAGAGAGAGTGGGCAGAGTAAGGAAGCCAAAGATTTCCAAGTCATTACAGACTCGAACAACGATTTCTAGATGACCGTTAGCGTAGTTGTAATCCTGTGACAGTAAACATCTCTTACCATGTAAGCTATCGAGACCACCGTGGAATCCAAACAAGATACCAAGTTGCTGGAAGCGAGCTGGTGTGAGCACACCTGATGGCAAGGTAACATTGTTGGAGGATAAATATTGCATGATTTGCTTGACACGCCCTACGTCCTCGGGGAACTTTTTGTAGTAAGCTTCATTCCTTTGCTGAACCTTTTCTGTTCGTTTGTCAGTACTATGAGCGCAAAGTTGTCTGAGATAGGCTAGCCTACCATAGGTCTTTGCGTAGACAGCATCCGGTCCGTTGACAAGCGGGGGAATACCACCACAAACGAAAGCCTCTCTCAGACCTCCCGGGCTAGAATCATAGCAATAATATTAGCTGGTACCATTCACAGTATGGGGGCAGTAGTGACGTTAACACATACAACTTGGAGAGATAAGTCAGAGCGCAAAAGCCACCAAAGCTTTGCCCAATGATACTCCATTTACGCTCTTCCTCCGGGTACTCAGCTGTCAAGACACCACGAATAGCCTCGCAATCACGAACAATATTGTCCGCACGGAAGTTCTTGAGGTATTCCGCCTGTTTGATTGCGTCGCCCTGGCGGGCGAGAGTTCCCGCAGTTATAGTTGAGCTCAAACCAGTACCACGCTGGTCTAGAAACAATACCTAATGGAAGTTCAAGGTTAATATGACCGATCTCACAAGTCAAGCCAAAGTAGGCAACTAAAATGCGTCAAATACCTGATAACCCTTGCTGAGCATAACATCAAGCCAGGGGTAAGATTGCGGAGGACCACATCCAAAGCCGGGTCCACCCTGTAGGTAGACCAACCAAGGGAGTTTGCCCTCTTTGTCTTCATCTTTGGGCTCAATAGGCTTGTTTAGCCGACTGACACTGCGAGCAAAGAGTCGCAGCTGGCCAGCGGCGGGCTTACTGTAGTCCACCGGGACATCGAAGAACAGCTCGGCCACCCGAAGCTTGTCTGTGATTGTGATTAGAGCCAGTTATTCCCCATATCAATAAGCTTCGCCAATAACTGCGCCAATACCAACCTGGGACGTTATGGAATCGACGATCAATCAGTTTCGCGGCCATGATCGCGGTGTTGATGGGGCTAAAAACCAATTGGGCCGTCGAGCCGCTTTGCGGAGAGCCGTACCACTCACACTTCTCTCACTGTTCAACTTCCTTTTCACTCTACTTTTGTCCAGTCAACTCAAACACTTTATTGTTTTGTATTCAAGCTAAATTGTACCAGGCAGATAAGTTCAGAGGTGATCCACTGCCCCTTTAGGGAGGTCCAGCCGAATTAGTCCCAAATTCCGAGAGTACGGAAATCCTGCCGGTTGTATAAATCAGTCACGGTTAGCCCTATCTCAGCCCTCAATATCTACAGCGAAAATGGAGAGCCAATTGCAACAAGATCTGTGGAAAGTTGCTCAGGGACCATGGGAGTCTGGCGTTCTTCCGAGCGCAGAGAACTTAGCGCGAGCAAGAGCTTCTCTGCCGGCAGCACTCCTGGGCACGGGTTCCTCCCTTGAATCTGTTCAGCGACACATTCTTGATGATATCGTGCCAGCTTTCAACGGAGGGAGCATCAGTGCCAACTACTATGGCTTCATCACGGGCGGAACTACGCCGGCAGCGCTATTTGCCGACAATGTTGTGTCTGCTTATGACCAAAACGTTCAGGTGCATCTCCCCAATCACTCGATTGTCACGGATGTTGAGTACAATACACTTGGTATGCTACTAGACCTTTTCCGTCTGGATCGCTCCGCTTGGCATAATGGAACGTTCACCACTGGTGCTACGGGGAGTAACATCCTTGGCTTAGCCTGTGGACGCGAGTTTGTTTTGCAAAAGGCAGCGCAGAGGAAGGGTATTGAAACCCAGAGTGTCGGAGAATATGGCTTGTTTGAGGTGCTGAATGCACTGGGTCTTTCTGGTGTTCAAGTGCTGTCAACTCTTCCGCACTCTTCCCTGGTGAAGGCTGCCGGTATTTTGGGCATTGGCCGTTCCAATGTGCACAACATCTGCCAAGCTGGCAATCCCCTTCGCTTTGATCTCGAGAGGCTTGAGAAGGAACTCGCGAGAACTGACAAAGTGAGCATTGTTGCTATATCATGCGGAGAGGTCAATACTGGCCGGTTTGCGACAAGTGGTGAGGACTTAAGACAGATCCGCCAACTTTGTGATCAGTACGGGGCTTGGATGCATGCCGACGGTGCATTTGGCATATTTGGTCGAGTTCTGGATGACAAGCCGGAGTTTGCAACAATCAAAATGGGCAGCGAAGGAATAGATCTGGTCGACTCAATTACTGGTGATGGCCACAAGATTCTCAATGTTCCATATGATTGTGGCTTTTTCTTCTCTCGGCATCCGGAGGTGGCATCACAGGTATTCCAAAATGCAAACGCCGCCTACTTAAATGCTGGAAACTCCGATGGCCCTTCTATTCCTTCGCCATTGAACATTGGACTGGAAAATTCTCGTCGGTTCAGAGCCTTGCCCGTCTATGCCTCTCTCTTGTCATATGGCAAGTCTGGTTACCAAGAAATGCTAGAACGTCAAATTGGGCTTGCAAGGAAGATTTATGATTGGGTCTTTGATCACCCCAGCTATACAGCCTTGCCGAAAGCATCGTCAAAGGCTGAATTACTTGATCAGACATTCATGTCTGTTTTGTTCCGGGCTAACGATGAAGCCCTGAACCGCAACCTGGCACAGAAGATCAACAACAGCTCGCGCATGTTTGTCTCAGGTACCAGCTGGGATGGCGCCCCCGCTTGCCGCATTGCAATCTCAAATTGGCGAGTTGACGTGGAACGAGACTTTGCTTTGGTATCTGAAGTGCTGGCCAAGGTCGCCCAAACGTAGGAATATGACGGCTGCTCGTCGGGGATTCATGCTCCACAAATAATATACGGGGCAGTGAAATCACCCTTTTACATGCTAATAGTATGTCAATTACGAGGAAGTGACTGTGAGAGGAGAGAAGACCCGTAACGAGCCTATTTCACAAAATCAAGTGTACTACTGTTCTAATAGGAGAAAGAGGGGGCGGGGGAGAAGTTGTATCAGTTCCCTATAATTATGCTTATTCTTATCAAGATGGGTATTGTAGTCCCTTTTCGTATTTGTGAACATCTTAGACTTCTCCCAAGGTCCTGTAGGTATCTGATAGCTAGCTGTATATCCACAACCCTCACAAGGGACGGGAGGAGCAGCTTTTGATAAGGGCAATTCAAAAAAAAAGATTAATTCAGACTGAGTGGAGGAATCAGGCAATGCAGTAGGTCCAATGGCTAATAAAACCAGCACTACAAATGAGATAAACGCAATGAATATATGGGATGCACCATCCACCTCTCCATGCCCTCTCTCTCCCCCTGACGTCCTCCTCATCAGTTCGCGCCACAGTGAGTGTCGATACCTGCTCCACTCTACGTCGCGCTCACAATACTATGTTGAACAGCAACGGGAACTACCTGCTATGGTTTTTATGATCCGTGTCCTCTTCTTCGTCTTGAGGACTTCTGGTGTTGCGAAATAAATACTTTAATGCTTTGCTTTGTGGCGTTCGGCAGCTGATTAGCTGTCATATTCAAACAGCTGGCTGAGGCTCTCTCTCCTCTCTTGGTCGTGGCGTTACATGGCGAGTACCCAATGTCTTCAGGACTTGGCTCCATGCCAGGTCATCATTTTGCTGGCCTTTCTCCATGTCTTAGAACTGAGTTAAACAGGGCCTCCGCCACAGCTTACGATAAATTCGACGAAAAGTATCTCATCATCATAGGTGACGACGAATGCGGGTTGGGCTTTATATACGGCCTGTAGAGTTTCAAGCGCCAGATCCGTTTCCACGTGGAACATTCGGCCAGCGCACCAAGTCCTTTCTGCCGACATCTGCTCGTCGCATACGGCTTCGAGAGGCATATTGTTTCGGCCATGATGGTGCCTTCTCGTTTCCTCCGTGGAATGACAAGTTGTTGCCAGGACATCTTCAGCCCTCCTCTTGTTTGGCCAGCTGCCATGTATGGGGGCACTAGAAGATAGTGCTTGTTAGTTGCAGCATAAATAAGGCACACAGACAAAGTGGTATTAGCAAAACTCACCCAAGCCGGGAAACAAAGTCTTCATGCCAGTGTAGATATCATATGTGAAGCCCCAGGGACGACAAGGAAGGATGCACAAAACCTCAAGCGACATGATGAACGCTCTGAAGTCAAGAGATAAGAAGGTGGGAAAGAATAAGAGTCAAAGAGGAGGAAGTGGCACTTCTATAGTTTCCTTGGGGAGAGAGAATCAATACTCTACTTGCAAACGCTCAAAAAAATGAACCAAAGAGGTGAAAAAAGAGGCAGGGGAAAACAATGCATGAACAATATACTCAGTTCGAGGCTCATAAACTTCGTATAAAGTCTACCCAAATCTTCATGAATGCCACTGTATACAGATATATGACCTTGTTGTATACAAAAAAATCCCACAGATGGGGTCAACATTTCAAATTAATGCCAGCACGAAGCTCATCCTCGCGAACCTCAAACATGACCTGCACACCAACAAACAAAACAACGCAGCAGGAAATCAAATAAGCAAGACCGGAGTATGAGCCCGTCAAACCAGCAAGGAGATCCTTCAAACCATCCAAACCAAGCGCAAAGCCAACCAGATTCGCAACCATCATCATTAGAACATTTCCAACGGATCCAATACCACAGAGAACACGGTAGGCAGTCGGACGGGAGCGCCAGCGGTGCGCAGGGAATAGCATGCCACCGAGGACTTCTGGTAAAACGAAGAGTGTAACCAACCACCCCCACATAAGCAGACGGAGGTTGATATCGTGCCACAGGGCGACGAAAGTGAAGACCATAAGGAAGTTGCGGATTTGCAGGAACTTGTTCATGAAATTGGACTTGGGTGGTGAGGTGGGTTTGGGACCTCCGGCTGGTCGTCGTCCACCGCCGCCGCCGCCGAGGGGTATGTAGATGTAGCGGACGATCCAGCGGTTGTAGGAGCGGTGCCAGCCGCGCCAGAAGGCGAAGGCGGAGTAGTTGTTTGACATGCAGCGGACCATGTTCTCTGGTGGATCGATGCCGTCTACTAGGGCCCAGAGTCGGAAGAAGCGCCAGGGAATGAGGAGCTTGAGCCAGATGATGTGGAGGTTGAAGAAGGCTAGCATGCTCAGCTGGCCTGGGGTGAAGACAGACCAGTCTGGATTGGATTTGGAGATTGCTACTGCGTAGATGTAGTGGAGGATTAGTTCCATGCAGAGGAGGGTGAAGCCGAAGCGGATGCCGTAGAGTGTGGTGCGGCTGCGAGTTACTGATGCTGGTTTGTAGCGCTGCTGGGAGACGTAGTCGTTGAATGTCAGGATTGGACCGGCTAGGTACAACGGTGAGTAGAGAATATACGCAATGTAATTGCGTAGGGTGAAAGCCGCTGGTTCTGCAGGGATCTTGACTCTTTCACGGTCAGAGAGGGACGCTGGGTCGAGTTGCTTCTTCTTGTGGAATTCGGTCAGTTGGGCTGTCAATTCGAGGATAGGTACCACCAAGCACTCACTTCGATTGGACTTGCCGCGGGGTAGTCGACACTCCAATAGTTATCCATATTGAAGCTGATGAGGCGCAACACAGTCACTTTGAAGAGGACCTCCCACCGCGGCATGAGTCCTCCAAGGTTGTCCACATGCTGGGCCCATTGGACCAACATGCTAGTGCTTTCTCCATATTGGCCAGATCCCGGCGCAAACAGCGTCACTATCCGCTCGAGGGGGTATCCACCGCATAACTCATTGGCAAACAAGATGAAGAGGTTGAAAGTCCAAGTCGCCGCAGGGACATAGGAATGGGGAACATCCTTGCCGATTCTGTAGTTGATATACAAGATCGACAGCACTTTGAGAGCGGACACTCCGTGGAGCGCTGTGATGAACACCAGTCCGAACCAAAAGTCGAAGCGCATTCGCTGTTCAAGTTGCACCTCGCCCGCACCAACCACGGAGTTGGTCGATGGTTTTGTTTCAACCTTCGAGCGGTTCATATATGACTGGTAGACCCGGCGGACAAGAGGATGGAGGATCAGGAGGAGGAGAAGGGGAGGGATGTTGTCGCGAAAGCTTGCATATTGCGAATCGGAGTTGTCCTGCGGGCGTGAGATCAGTTTCGTGCTCGTCGACGATTATCCGCTTGATGTAAGCACTTACGACCAGACGGCCAGGGATCCAGCCCGGTGACAAGAGATCAGAGTATTTGGGGTAGATCGGATTGCTTTCTGTGATGTTGTCCGTACCGGTCAGTATTCCAACACGTCCAGCGATTTGTGTGGTCCACTAACCCTTCGAGGCATCAATGACGGTCTTGAACATCAATGGAACGAGCGTGATGAAGAAAATGTAGTAAACGAAGAACTCCGGCGTGCGCCAGAGTGATGGCGGCGCGCCCTGGGCGATTGCGTTGGCGCGGGCATCTTTGGATGAAGGTCGCGTGTCGTGGGCAGGTGTTGCGGAGGAGGTAAAGCGAGTGTCTAGGGTGTCCAGCGAGTAGACCCGCCGGAGCCATGCGAAAAGAGAGGGCATCTTATAACACTGGCATGGCCGGCGCAGGTTTGAAGAAGTCGAAGTCGGAGATGGTTGAAATTACGGTGTCTACTCAGGGGCCGAGGTACCGCCACCTTGGTGAGGTGGCCACTACATGTACTGAGCTATGTGAATATTCCATGCCAAATAAGTAACTGATGTTTAATTATTTATCTTAGCCTGGCTTTTGTTTTTTAGTCCATGTAATCACTAACGTTACGTCCCCGTAGATACAATCAGCGCCCGCCAATATCACATTGAATGATCCAAGTATACCAGGTAGTTAAGGTGAAATCGGGGGTAATCTGGTGAGCTTTAGAGAAATATGTAGTTCTCAAAGTAAATTGAGCGGCGTGGAAAGAAACATACATACAAAGGTGAAGGAAGAAAGGTACATGAAGAGGCGGATTTCTATACAATTCGCTAATATAGCGACTCCGCCATTCACAAGACGTAGAGCAAAACTTCTTAGTAAATGTCCTGTATATACGCCTTAGTTAGATAGGGCCTGTTGGGTGAGGGAAAATACAAAAGCAATTGATATGTTCTACAGAATTTGCTTTACTCGGATATCCAACATGGCTTCAGGTGTTGGATCTGTTGGCAAAGACTAGGTATTCGTAGGCTTTTACATAGCTCTAGTCTATTTAGAACAGCATTTCTTCTCAGCCCAAAAATTCACTAATGGCTTCCAGCCCTGCTTGCAATTTCTCCGGCGGAGTTGTGATGTGCATCCGAACGAATCCGCGGAAATCTTGAGCAGCTGGCAAACCAAAGCAAAGACTTCCAGGAGCTAACAGAACGCCCTTCCGCTCTTTCAGTCTCAGACAGAACTCGACATCATCTACGGGGACTCCATTGGAGGAGAAGCGTACGAAAGCCGTCGCCCCCGAGCTCGGCTTGATCCACGAAACACCCTCGTGCTTGTTCACAAAACTTTCAAGGAGAATGAGATTCTTCCGGGCCAATTCTAGATGCTTCGCCAGGATCTGAGGCCGGCATCGATCACTCAGAGCCTCGGCAGCGATGGCATCATCAATTGTGCCAATTGCCATGATCGTGTAGAGCCCCAGGTTGAAGCATTGTGAGAGAATTTTGGCGCTTTTCGTGGCGATCCAGCCTACTCGAGTACCAGATAGGCCCCAAGCCTTGCTCACAGAGCTAGTGACGACGATGTTGTCATTGTCATTCTCTTCGGAGAGCTCCAGGAAGGATGGCGGGTTTGTCGAGTCATGGAATAGTGGGCGGAAGATCTCATCAACTACAAGGATTATCCCATGTTCACGGGCCAGAGCCACGATAGCGTGCTGCATTTCGAGGTTCAGGATGGTTCCTAGGGGGTTGTTAGGGTTGTTGAGGACAATCATTTTTGTAGTTGGGTTGATCATGTCTTTCAATTGTTGAAGGTCACTCTGGCCTTGGTTGTTCAAATCGGGAGACCAATATGAGATATCCCTGCCAACTTTGGCTTTCGGAATAGCCAGAAGAGGTGTATAGGAGGGATACATGGCGATGACATGATCTCCGGGCTCCAGCAAGCTTTGGAACACGAGCGAGTTGGCACCTGATGCTCCATTGGTAGCTAAAATGTTGTCTGCAGTGATCTTCTCGTCGTAAAGCCCGGCGATCTGCTGGCGAAGATTCTCACTTCCATTTCCGGGACCCAGAGTCAGTTTCAAGGACTCAACCGACAAGTTGCTGGAAGTTGTCTGCTTGTCCGAGGAGAGCTCGATTAGATCCTGAATTGACAAAGCCGGAGTCGCACTGCCGGCTAACACCAGAGAAGCACTCTTATGTTTTGTAATCCACTTAACTTGTGTTAACGAAGGCAAAATTGAGAATTGAAGCTGTCGCGTACCTTAGGAAGCTCGAAAGAGCTAATTTTGTTCATTGTGGTATGATAATATGCAACTTGAAGATAATGAAGAATACAATGGGCTTACTGGAGATCTTATAGCTTTCCCAGGGCTCTGACGCATAGGAATGACATGCGGGGCCGTCCACAGGGCGTGTTCTATTCCTAATCTGATGCTTACCCGTCTTTCTGGCTCTTGGATTTACTAGATGAATCCTGAAGGATGCTGCTATCGGCGGATTTATAATGAATTAATAATACTTATACCATGTTTGACGTCGACTGCCTGATAATAGAATGAGCTGTTCAATTTTTGGATTGAGGCTTCGTACGAAGGCGATGACTCATTTGAATTCGAGATTCCATATTTATATCGGCTAAAGCGGCTGTCATTGTCGGAGTGATAGCTAAGCTATTTTGAGGGCGAGGTTAAATATTATAGGCTAAATAAGTTACTGATATTTTATTTATTTGTCTTTCCCTGGATTTTTGATGAACTAACTACGTGTAATCGCCACATGTATGTCCACATCGATCCATGCGGATCCAATTAGCGCCCGCTAATATCACATCGCGTGATTCAAGTACAGTATACAAGGTGATTTAACGTTAATGTAAAATCCGGGGTAATTTCGTGCGTTTTAGACAAACATGTACTTCTAAATATGATTTGGGCGGCATGGAAAGAAGCATAGGATTCGTCTTGGCTGTATATGTATGAAGCCACTAAACTCAAACTGTTCGTTTTGTCCCACATCAGCTCGTTGATCCTTCAACCCAACCCTTCATCCTACTCTCTATCCACAATGTCAACCCAAAGAGTAAGTACCCCATCTGTGATCTACCCTAATAGATCCAGTTGCCACGAGCATCTTTTGTCGGCTACGTGACAGCTGAAATTAAGTGTCCCCGCATGTTGATACTGTATCTACTTCAGGTTGCCTTCAAAGTCCACGGCACCGTGCAAGGCAAGTCCCTCCATATCCCCACTACCAAACAGTTCTCATCTCCCACTCAATTACCACTAACATAAATAACAGGCGTCGGCTTCCGGTAAGAATACCTCAACCCAGCCGATGACATCATCGCCATCAAGGTGACTGACCGTGGCCACCATGAACAAACTACAGAGACTTCACCCAGAAATGCGCTACCAGCTATGGTCTCAAGGGCTGGGTCAGAAACACTACTTGCGGACGGGTGGGTATCTACTTCATAGGTACTGCTACGTGCCCAGTCAGGATTGTTGGCTGACTCAACCGGATTTATATAGGTCGAAGGCGAGGCCCAGGGCAGCGATGAGATCATGAAAAAGTTCTTCCAGCAAATCGGCAGGGGGCCTCGTATGGCTCATGTAGTGAAACTTGAGAAGCGAGACATGGACGTGCGGGATGACGAGGATCACTTTGCTGTTATGAGGACGGGGGAGTCTATGTTCGAATCGGAGAGCTAGATCTTGTTTTTGATAGCTTTCCAGGACCAATTATAGTAATCATTCATAGTAGGATGGTCATAATAGCAATGATCAGTCCAGATTCTGCAGTCATTTTGAGTTTATACCTTTGTTATCTCCTGCTATTTATTGTTGAGGTTGTCAGTCTTTCACACCCTGGGTTCAACTTTGGATCGGAGTACATGTATAAGACATAGGACAGTAGACATAGATATTGAACGAAAAATATAGGAGAAAATAGAATATAGATGTATCGGCAGGAACCGGGACGCCAACTCCCTATCGTATCTGGCCCCGGTGAGAAAATACGAAATCCAAGAATGACCTCAGACGAACTCGGGTTTGAATCAGGCTTTGAAAATGATATTTTCTCGGGATCGGTGGCCGTGAAGGGGCGAGAGGCTCAGTGCAGAGCTGACTCATTCTAGCCCGGTCCATCCCGAAGTCACCTGCGCAAATTCGCTCTGCTTCGGGAAATAGACAGTAAACAGCCAAAAAACGAGATATTCTCTAGGGATAATGGGAAGCCTGGTGAATGTAGTTTTTGCTCAGGTAGATTGATAGTTAGATAGCCCTGCGAACCGACTGGGACAAGAGGCCCATGAAAGGTGCATAAGGATATGTGGGGGATATACATAGTGGAGCCAATAAGCTAAACAGATTGTCATCGTTGGACTTGCAGGTTCTCGTTCTTGGAGATCGGAGGTTCCGCCACGATCCCGTCAAGATCCCGTCAAAGGCTGAGTTTTTCTCGTGATGGATCGGGTTCCTGTTTTGGTTCCAGGGTTTATGTAGATATTTAAGGCACTCCTGCTCTCTTACTCCTACTTCCATAGTATACTACTACCCACTTACCTCAACCATAACATGAATTCTCTAATGACTTCGGCCCCCTTGCGGGCTGCAGTACGACCGCAGTACCTGCATTTGGCTGCTCAGACCTGCTCAGGCATTGCAGTCACAACTTTAAGCTCGTCCTTGCGAACCGGATCCCCCAATCACACCAAACGCCTGATCTCATCTACGCCCCAAAATCAGATCAAAGAATTCTTCCCTCCACCCAAATCCTCCAATGTGAAGGGAGTGCAATCAGCATGGGTGCACCCAGTGTGAGTAACCCGCTTCATCCCCGCTCGTGCAGGAGCTAACCCTATGCCAGCTATACCGAAACCCAGATGAAAGATATCTATATCGCACACCGTGAAGCCTCAAATTGGTCCGATTGGGTTGCTCTTGGCACCGTCCGTGCCTTCCGATGGGGCATGGACTTTGCCACAGGGTATAGACACCCCAAGGCGGGCGAGGAACTCCCAGCTAGCTTCAAGATGACAGAAGCGAAGTGGCTCACGCGGTTCATCTTCTTGGAAAGTGTGGCAGGAGTTCCGGGAATGGTGGGCGGAATGCTGCGTCATTTGCGCAGTCTGCGCAAGATGAAGAGGGATAATGGATGGTATGTGACATGTCCATGAATCCACGATGGAGAGATCTGCAACTGACTCGCAATGTCAATAGGATCGAGACCCTACTCGAAGAAGCCTTCAACGAACGCATGCACCTTCTCACATTCCTTAAGCTGGCCGAACCCGGCTGGTTCATGCGCCTGATGGTCCTCGGAGCCCAGGGTGTCTTCTTCAACGGCTTCTTCCTCGCCTACCTGGTCTCCCCCCGTATCTGTCACCGATTCGTGGGATACCTCGAGGAGGAAGCCGTCATTACATACACTCGTGCAATTGAGGAACTTGAATCCAACAAACTTCCAGAGTGGAAAGATCTCAATGCACCTGAGATTGCTGTCCAGTACTGGCAGATGCCAGAGGGTCAACGGAAGATGCGGGACTTGTTGATGTATGTCCGTGCGGATGAGGCCAAGCACCGCGAGGTCAACCACACACTGGGTAACCTCAATCAGGCTCTCGATCCCAACCCGTACCAGACCGAGTACTATGATCCGGCGCGTGACCACCCCACGAAAGGCATCGAGAACCTCAAACCCACTGGGTGGGACCGGAAGGATATTTTTGATGCAAAGAACTGAGTCCATCAAAACGGCGTTGGGGTCTATTATACTATACCATAGCGTTCTCCTCTCATTTGTATATAAAGTCAACTTCATACTTGTTCATACTTCCGATAAGCATAGAACTCAACCATGGAACGCGGGGCAGCTAAGCCTAACTAGGCAATCCACCAACATAGTACTTCTTATTTCTCCATCTTGCCTTTCTTGTCTCTCTTGTCATTAAAGATGTTGCAGCTCCAGAAAAAAGGGGGTTGATATGACATGCATCCTTAATCAAAGAACACATCTCTTTGTGGGCGGCCGTTGACCCGCAACCCCCTACTAGCCCCGGTTAGTCGAGAGCCCCCCTTTTGACCAAAAAGAGATTCTCGTCCGTCGATCCTGCATGTTTCATTAAACCTCCGTCCTTTTCATTAATTTGCTTGTATAGCCCGCTCAACCTCGGAAGCATTGACTTGGTCGCACACAATCCGCCACATGTCAAAGTCACGAACATTCCCAGGGACCACGCTGCGACCCCGATCCAACATTCCAACCTGAACCCGAACCCACAGCAAATCCCAATCAATGGACGAGCCACGACGGTCAATGGACACCGAGGCCTTCCCGGCTGCTGTACGGGCTTCTTCACCCTCGCCTTCAGTCCCAGCTACACCTGCCATCTCATCGTATTCCTCCCCAGACCGCACATTCTCCTCCGAGTCTTCCCGCTCCACCTCCTCCGCTACCTCCGCAGATGCCAGATCGTCCGTGTCGACCTCGTCCCGCCGCCATGGGTACATCCGTGCATTGGGAGCCGAGTTCGCGGACTCGGCCCGCCACCGCGACAGCGTTATGAGCCTCGGCAGCATCGCCCACCTACAATATTATTTCGCTCGGACAGGTCTATTGGATGGGAAGGGTGGTCGGGGCCGTGAGTGGGATAAGGATAAGAAGAAAGGCAAGGATAGTGTGCCGCGGGTGTTGATCACCCCCAATGAACGACACATGGATGATTTGGTATCCAGCCCTACGGATATGGCAGACCCCGCCGAGGGTGAATTGGAGGATGAAGATGAGGACGCTGAGGTGATGCTGCCGCCTACCGTTAGCACCTACAGCATCAAAACACATCATATTCCCCCTCCGCCGGATTTGATTTCTTTGCGCCGGCAATTGATGCTTGCATTGGATAAGGCGGAGACTAATATTGAGGCCATCGAGAATGGCGCTGAGCCTCCTCCCCGTGAGCCAATCCGGAACAGTCTTTCTCCAGGGGATGTCCCCGAAAACCATATGGAGGAATCTGGAGAGGTTCCTACTCCGAAGAACAAAGAGGAGGCACAGGGCATGTGCATCCTGGATGATGTGACGAATGCTATTCGAGCCGCGAAGATCTACTACACTGCCCATGAACACCCAGAACGTCTAGCTTCAATAAAAAGCGAGCGCGAGATACGCAAGGAACTCTTCGATGTGTTGGAAGTTCTGAAACGCTGGGCTGCCCGGCATTTCGCCAGTGGTCTCCGCGGGGAAGAGCGCGAGCGGATTCAGGAGTGGATCTCCGGTGTGCGCACCATGCTCGTACGTGAGAAAGCCCTGGAAGACCTCGAGGCTCAAGAACGGCAAAATTGGGATTGGGCAGCTGGCGACTGGAGAGGCCGAGAGCGTCCCCGGGAGGAGTCTTTCCTGCGCAGTCTGATGCCCGGCGGAGACTCCTTGCCTACCTGGACACCCGTTGAAGAGACGCCCAGTGAATCCCTGCCGACCCCATTTCTGGACCAATTCCGCGATGGGCGTGCACTGGTTCAGTTACACAACCTCGCGATAAAGAAGTCGAAACGCCAGTTCGGCGAAATCAAGGCATACCACCAGGACATTGCCAAGCCATACCGGCAGGCTGACAATCTCCGGTTCTGGGTGAAAGCTGCAGAGCTCCGGTGGGAGCTGCGTCTGGATGTTGATGTGATGGGGGTTGTACAGAACAGTGGTGCCGAGGCCTGGAAGCAATTTGACACTGCACTGCTGGCCTGGTGTAAGACTGTTCGCGAGGAGTTGGTGCGAGATTGGCAGGCGGCCAACCCAGGACGACCCCCGAGTGCTGGGTTGATTTGAGGATTGTTGGATTCGAAGTCCATGTTTGCATCTCGGTTCTTTTCTTTTCTCTTTGGGCATTTGATACGATACCCCCTGAATTGTCGCCGACTGTTCTGCCCGTCTCATATTTTGAATTCTAGTCTTTTTCGGAATTACAATCATTGTACTCATAATTCGGACTTCAATTCCATAGACGCATACATGCATTAATTGTGGATAAGTTAACGTTATCTGTGTCAGTGTACATGTAGAGAGGTAAGTTGGCCTTGTTGATCTGCATAGACGTTGAACATCATATGAAATTGACGTGTACTCCTGAGCTTGACCGACAAACTCGTGGGAAGAGGAAACGTTCAAATAATTTTCAAATTGCAGAGATCTCAATTAGAAAGAGAAGCATGTAAGTGAAACAAATAAGAAAAGAAATATAAGACATGATTTCATCGTCCCTCACATACCGAGGAGGTACATCGGGCCCCATAGTAAATATACGGGGCCGAAGGTAGACAGGCCACTTCATCCCTCTCTCTCAACGGTTGCTGCCCAATATCTTCACCTTCAAACTGAAATATACAGACTGACCTTATGTAGCTTGTTCCTGACATTTCTACCTCTGAACAATAGAAGGGGGTTACACTTTAGCTTTGCCGAGAGACGAAACATTCCAGCTATCCCTGTCTGGATCGCATTTTTTGGTCCTTTTGCTCTTTCACCCCCAGGGGCCTTGTCTCCATGCATGCCACAGCCGACAGTCCAACTTCTGCGACCGAAATCGCGCACCCTTCCAACGCGTCCATAACCTCCGCTTCTCCCCCGTCGCTCACCCCCGCGCTCTCCGTCTCTCCAAATGACACCGGCACCTCCACCCTCCGCCGCCTAAAATCCAAGTCATCCCTGTGGAGTCTAGGAAGCAGCAATAACGAAGACGAAAGCTCCCCAGTCGAGCCAAATACTGGTCCCCGGCAATCAATCCTTCGCCGACTCTCCCCGGCTCTTGCAGCCCGCGTCAAAATGCTGGATGGCAGTAACAAGTCACCCTTGCAATCCAAGAACCCAAATGCTGTCGGTCGAATTCCAGAAGAGCACCTGAAGGAGCTGGATAGTCGGAACCAGGACTTGTCTATTAGAGTCGAGCGGAGGGGCCAAGCGTGGAACGGTTCAGGAACCTCACCCGGCCAATCTCACGATCCCCCGCGGCGTACCGCCTCAAACCACCTCGAGCTCCCCCACCAAGATATCCTCCAAGAGATCGCAGACGCACACAGACGGGACGGACGCGCCTCAACCGAAGCAGTCGAGGACAGCCCTGACCAGAACCAGAACCAGGACGAGCCCGCCCCGACAACCGACTGCACCAGTTCACCAGTCTACATGTCTGTTGCAGAGCCAGCTCCGGCGCCGGTGCGCGCACAACCGCAACCATCCCTCCTACCCAGCAATTCCATTCAAGACGATCGCACTGACTTCCAGAAATACGTCGACGATACCGCCCGCAAGGAAAATCAGGATGCGCAGAGCGCGCCTGATCCCCCGCCGAAGGATTCCCCGCCTGCTTATGCCCATTCGCGCTCGTCTTCCAATTCCCAGTCATATTTCAATCCCATGGGTCTACAGCGCGCGGACTCCATATACTCTTTCTCCCGTGCTTCCTTTAGCAATCAGCTCTCGCAGCTGACGTCCATTCCTCTCCCGCAGCCGGATTCGCTTGAGGCGAGTATTACGAAGATTGCTACGGCTCTTTCGGCTGTGAGGGCTTTGAATGGGGCTGCGGAGCAGATTCAGATTTGGATCAAGAAGGCTTCGGATGTGCTTAGTGGTTTGGATTCTGAGGATGATGTTGAGTGGGCTGCTGCTGGTGGTCGGGAGGGTCTTGATGGGGTTGATAAGGCCATTACCCGGTTCGAGTGCTTGGTTAATGTGTATGTGCGAGCCATTGAGAATGTTCAGCTGCGAGACGATATTGCGAATGTCGATGCGGAGAACTTGACGACGATCGTCAGCCAGATGGAGAGTATCCTGGAAAACTGGAAACAGATCAAGAATAAGCTGAGAGGTGTGAAAGAGCAAGTTGAGTTGGCGATGGAGTGGGAAGAGCTTTGGTCGAATGTCCTTGGTGATGTGGGTATGGAAATTGATAATCTTAGCGGGTTGATCTTCGAGATGGAAGAAAAGCGTCACCAGGCGTTGATGGATACGGGCGAGACGACTGGCGGTCTTGATATCAACGAGTTGGAGACGATCGTGGAAGAGTCTCCTACCAAGAGTCGCGCGGCATCACAACGCCTGAGTATTGGTCCTCTTCTGGCATCGGCTTCTGGCACTCCTGTTATCAAAACACCACAGGATGATACGAGCCACTCGAATCTGATGGCTATCTTTGCGCGCATGCAGCCGCTACGTGCATCGTTGGACTTTTTGCCCATGCGACTGTCCATGTTTCAGGCTCGGGCCGAGGCTATTTTCCCGAGTGCGTGCGAGGAGGTTGAGGACAGGCGGAACAGGTTAGAAAAGAGCTATAAGGTTCTTGAGACAGATGCGGAAGCTCTGCGGAAGGAACTGGGAGAGGATAAGTGGATTCTAGTTTTCCGCAATGCTGGAAGTCAGGCGCAGAAGATGTTTGAATCTGTGGAACGCAGCATTGGCAAACTGCAAGAAGGACTGGAGAGCGGCTTGCAGCTTAACAACCCGGTCACCTTGCAGAAGCGCATTGAGAACTACGAGGCGAAGAAGATGCACTATGTGCCGGCGATTGAGCGTGTGGTTTCCATTATCCAAAAGGGTGTCAATGACAGGTTAACTGTCAACGGCGAAATCCTACGATTGTTGTCTGATATGATATCGCGGATGGATGCTCTCAAGGCTAGTACCAAAGTCATGGACACTTCTCTTGAGGACGTGCATATTGTCAAGGGTCAGCAGCTTCGAGACTCAATTTCTAGCATCTTGACCATGGACAGCCCGCTCACAGGCAGTGCCATTGACACGCCGGGAAGCTCGCCCGCGTCGTCGGTTATCATAACTGGCCCCAGCTACAAGGGCACCTCAACACCCTTGGGTGGTTCAAGCCGACGCGAGAGCTTAGCTGGAAGCACCACAACTCGGTCAGCCTTGCCAAAGACCCGGCGCTACTCTGGCTTGCCGCAGTCCACAGCGAACTACACAAGCCGGAAGTCGAGCATCCCCCAACCATCCGGCCTTACATCCCCCACTCCATCAAGGAGATCCACAAGTCTCTTTACGCCAACCCCGGCTTCCCGCTACACTTCTCGCACACCAGCGGCGCCGTCCACAATCCCCAACCGTCCTCGTTGGAACGCGAGCACAAATACGAACGATCTAGATACTGGATATACTTCATACCGCAAATCATCCGCCCCGATATCTCGCACGCCTCGGCCCGCATCGGCCATCCCATTCCCCAGTCCATTCCGTCGAGAGACATCTGCGTCTCCAGCACCGGGCACTTATAGATCGACGAGTCGCGTCTCCAGCCGGCTCGGTGATCGAAGTCCCTCACGGAATATTTCCTCCCCTAGCCCAGCGCGATCATCACTCCTCGATCCGCCACCATACAGCCGACTGCGCCGACAGTCGGGGATGTCAAACACACCCCGCAGTCGCCAGAGCTACGCAGGCGTGAGCTCAGCTTTCAGCCGGAGCGTCTCACATGCTCCGGATGTATCTGAGACACCTAGCAAAGCCTCTCGGCCGGGCACATCACTGGGTCATTCAACTAACAGGCGTGTTAGTCTTCTCCCGCTGCCAACGCGGGCAGATCACAAGCCAGCGGCTCAAAAGGTGGATACTCGTCCTCCGTGGCGTTAATCTACGTAATTAATATTGCTCTGTCGGCATGTACTATGTACTATATTTCACCCCCTATAGTACCTCTCTCTCACACCCTATCTCTCTCCATCTCCGTCTCCCTCCCTCAACTTCCACACAATCTCCGTCCCGCTCATCCTAACATCTTCAATTCTACCCTGTCTAAGTTATCTCATCTTCTTCACTTGTGCATTACACCCCTCCTCCATATTTGATCCGGTTGGTTTACATCTATATGTATACCAGCCTACTTCACTGAGGTGGAGGACCACTCCATCATCTTGAAAGCCCGGTTTTGCGTGATATCCCTATTGTTTGCATGGTATGGTTTGAGCGTTGGGTTCATTCTACTTTTGTTCAGGTTTCCTTGATCTGTTATTGATTATTATTTATTTTACTTTACTACCTTCTGTTCCATTTTGCCTCTTTATTATATGTGAAGGATATCATTTGTAGTTTATCTCGTTTAGTCGATGGTATTTTGGTTTGATTGACTTGGATTAATATTTCGAGTTGTAGTCTTGGTTCCCATTGTGTTTTTGTATAATGTCTAAACATAGTATTCTTTCTATATAACGAATCTCAAAGCATATTTACAACCGGATTACATACAAAGTATAACAATATCTTCAAAGAAAAGAGAACAATATTCAGAAAATGAAAGCCGAGACTATCACTCTAGTTCCGCAACTCCCGTCCAAAAATCAACGCATCGACTAATTCCTTGCTATTCTCAAGTCGTGCAGCTTTGGGTACGCGACCAATCACGCTGAAGCCAAGTCTCTCCCAGATGCGGATTGAAGCTGGGTTGTTTGCGAAGACTAGGTTGAAGACGGAGTATGTATAGCCCTAATTTGGAAGATTAGCCCAAGTTTCAAGGTGTGCATAACCATGTATGCATTATACAACAGCTATTCGTTGACCTCACAGCTGAGCTGAACGATATTGGGGTTAAGTCGTACCAGTCTGGGCGCAAAATCTAGATAGGCTTCTCCCATGGCATAGCCGACACCTTTGCCGCGTGCCGCGGAGGTAGTAATGAAGCCAGCATTACAGATATGAGAGCAACGTCCTGTGACAGTTTCATTAGCAATAGAACATGAAAAGCATATGAAAGAGTAGAATAGAAAGACATACCAGGATAATTAGGCTTAATATAAAAAGTGCCCAGACAAGCACTCTCCCAATCCCTCCCCTCTGCAAGCCCCTCCCCACCATTAACGTCATCCATGATCGCAAGCACGGCAAAAGTTCCAAACCAGTAATCTGCAAATTGCTCCAGTGGCAGAGGCTCTTCCATGGGATAAGTGCCACCACGGAGAATCTCCGCGCTGAACTCCTGTTGCAAGAAGCGGACCAGATCTTGCGGGAGGGATTGCGCGCCTCCTGTAACAGGGTACAGGGTCATTGGGGCATTTTTGTCCTTTGAGAGAGTAGTGTGCCGCACTGTCAAAGTGGGCGCTGCTGCGATGTGCGCATGTGGTGGGGGATTGCGGCTTGAGGGGTCTTCCAGGATCGCGGGCATGTTGGGAGATTGGGAGCTTTGTACTTAGATTAAATCCTCAATGAACTCTGGGGAGAAGGAACGAATCGGTTTTATGTCGGGCTCTTCCTCAGAATTGAGGTTTTTATATACCCCGGCATTTCGGCCTGGCCTCCCCACTTTCGACTGATGACTCAGCTTGTCGTTTGGAGGGCGCGCTCCACTGAAATCTGAGGGCACCCAGCTCAGCGGGACCCGTGAAAAGTTCAACGGGACCCATGAAAATATGACTAATGACGGGTCCCGATCAGCTCTGGCACCTCACCGGGTCCGGAAATCCTGCCTTATATAATCAATTTTTAGCGTAGAATTTTTTTATTCGCCCCTATTTCAGTGCTTTTACACAGCTCTTACAAGCATTCTTTACGCATACTTCATTATGGCGAATTCCTTCCTCCAATCGCCTTCCCTACCGCCTCAACCCTGTCCTAATATTGAAAGGGTTTCAAATATAGGGGGTATGGCTCAAGCTGCACTAGAACTCAATCGTATTCTTTACGATATTCCAACTGTAAGTTAACTATACCTTAGCGATACATTATACATATGCTAATTATATCCTTTATTCTAGCGTCCGAGATCAAACTCTGAGATCTCTCTATATGAGGACTGTCTAGATGGCTATCAGTCATCCGAGGCTAGTTCTCATTATAATAATGAGAACTATGATAATGAGGATCATGATAGTTCTTTAGGTTCTATATCTATGTTAGGCCTAAGCCAAACAGACGTATCTACTGATGGAACTTTAATTAGTACCAATCGTAGAGATACTGTCACTGCCTATGAGGTTCAGGAGCATCTTCTACTTCCAGAATATCCTGCCACGGACGACAATGGTGTCTTACATATCATTCATGCCTCTACCAATCCATTTCAGGATATGCCTAGTGACTTTAGTGGCATTAATGAGATATTTACACAACTTATGTCGGCTGTAAGATTTTGATATGCTTAACATATGGAATTATTACTCATGAATATAGGTTCAATTCTCCACAAAACATCTCAAGTCTGCGAAGCAAATCAGCACAAAACTTCTCCAAAAAGGCCCTAATGACAAAGAATCAAAGTCATGGCATCGATCCTTTCAGTGTACAGGGATTCAGCACTGTCATCAAGTTCACTATAGCCTTGTGAACTCATCACCAAAGTATAATCGGGTTAAACCAGAACTGTTTCTTGAACTACAGTCAAAGGCCGCTAAGCCTATACATGGGACTATTAGCCAGATTATTGAGCAACGAACGAGAGAGTAGGTTAATGGTTTCTTAAGCTTAACATATATTTAACTAATATCTTATATAGGCTCTACTTTGGATTTCTCCACACCTGGAATATTGACGGGCCCTGTCGCTATGGTCCAGCTACCCTGACATGTAGTGGACAAAAGCCAAGAGTGTGGCAGCGGGACGGAGTAAGTCTATATGCTATCTATACGTAAGATATATACTTACTATAGTTAGATCACCTTTATTGGTTGTCCTAACAATTCACCCGAACAGACTTGGCATTATGCCCAACCTGTATCTAGAAGTGCTGCAAGGGTCGATATTGCATTTTTGAAACTTCTATGTGAAAAGGATGGAATGCAAGCGACGGGTTACCATACCGGGAATTGCCACTTTGTTACCCATCGTTCAGCTAGACGCCAACATTGTGGTACGTTTAAACTTTTGATATACTAAACATATGTCCAAAAAATGCTAAATATATACTAGATTCTGTGCACTCTGATGGGATTGGCAAATTGACTAAGACCGAGTGCTCTGTTAAGATGGACGTTTATATTCCTTGCTCATGGAATCGATTTCCATTCTTTATGGTTGTATGCCGAGGGTCTCATTCGCATTTTCCACCGCCACCAACAAAGCTACCACATGAGATTGGTCGCGAGATTGTACAGGCAATCGACGCTCAAGATATACTAGGATTAACTGCACGTACGTTATCGTTTCCTAATACTAAGTCCTGTTTTTATTAACTAACCCTAGGTAAATTGATGCTTTCGCCTACATTTGCAAGAATCCTAAGCCAACATAGAGATTCCGCGCTTCGCTATATCCATAAAAGCTTGCACATTGAGGATAAAGTAACTGCTTTGATTCATAAACAAAGACTGCTATATTACCCACAAGGTACAAGTCTTGCTGGCGTGTGGCGCGAATACCAGTTCGATCTAACTAAAAACAATGACGAGCAATGGATTCGTGAGGTCTTTTTCTTTGACGAACAAAGAGAGCATTATCTCATTATATGTTGTACTTACGAGCAAGCTAAGCTTTTTCAAAACGTACAACATCTTGAAATGGATCTTGCTTTCAAAATGGTTCAAGGACAGACTAAAGTGTTCTCAATTTCTTCGTGGAACGAACAGGCAAGAAGTATTAGTCTACCTTATCCTGAACATATGTTAAACTTATGCTAATTATAAAAGGTCTCAATACATACGCCTATGCTTTTATGAACCTTGAAACCCGTGAGGCGTATCGGGTTCTTTTTCGAAAGATCTTCAAGATACTTGGCGATGTTGGACGGAAGCCTATTCGATGGGCGTACCAGCAAGGTGGTGATGATCATAGTGACGGTATCCGTACTGTTACAGTGGATATGTGCAAAAAGCAGGCACCTGGTATGTGATTGATATACTAAACATATGTGAAAATTATACTAACTAGATCATTTATTTATAGGGCTTGGAGACTATCTTGCTGAACTAGATCCTCGCTGGATATGGTCAGAGCATTTGCAACATGTTCTAATCCTTTGCCAAACACATGTTAAACGGGCATTTCGCAAAAGATTTCCTGATCATGAAGCTACTGCGGCAATTGATCTAATCTGGACTGCAAATTCCAAGGCAGAAGTTATCCAAATCATGGATGATGTCGCGGAAAAATGGCCAGAGACCCAGAAGTGGTTTGCAAATAAGAAGGTTGACTGGATTCTTGCTGGAATCACGTCTGAAGCTTCAAAAATCCCTATTAGATGGTGGACAAATGCTCCACATCATACTGGGATTAGCGAAAGCAGTCATTTTCATGATAATGAGGCAATTGGCCGGAAGCAAGCTCTATTAACTGCAATTCTTCGGTAAGTTTTTTATATTAGTATGTTTCTATTACTAACATATATTATCTAGATGTAAAAGACATACTCGGGAGATGGAGAAGAAAAACAAACTTGCAATTGAGGAGGGTATCTACCCTACTTGGCGTTCTTTAAATCCTATTCATCGGATTGCAAAGCAATATCGAAAAAAGGGTTAGTATTTCTTTGTTACATATGTCTAACTTATACTTATTTTATTCTAGACAAACGAAACCGTCACTCTGCAAATCGTCGAACTCGGAGACCATATCTTCCTTGGAATCCAGCCAATCCCTATGATACATTTGATCCAGCAATGCAGCCACCCGAGCCTATAGGTATCTCTGATTCTGTTTCAGTCGCTACTTCAGATACTACCGACATAAGCTCAGTATATGGTCAAGGTACACCTCAAGCGCAGTCGATTATCTCTCAATATAGAGGTAGTTCAATTCTATCTGAATCACCTAGATTAGCGCCACAGGATAGTATATCTCAGCAGCTTACTAGGAATCAGGTTCTACTTGATGAAGAGGCAATTTTACGGCAGGAAGTTGCAGATCTTGAGCGAAAACAAAGGATTCAGGCTCTTCAAAAGAGAAAAGAGGAATTACTACGCAATTTGCATAGTTAATAGAGTCAATTTTATTTATTTGGATATTTTTTGGATACGTTTAACTTATGTTTATTTAGATCCAAGTGTGCAATTTGCATATGGTCAATGTATTATCATGTAGAAATAAAAATCTGCAAGAAAAGTACCGGAAATCTGCAAGAAAAATACTACAGCGATCTAGGCCACGGACTCGAAGGCACTGGAACTGCTAACGTCTCCATCACCACCCTCTACGTCGTCCCCATCGCTCTCACTATCATCATCCTCCGAGTCTTCATCGTCCTCAGTGTTATCACCAACGAAGTCTGGATCGTCAGATTCGTCGTCCTCAATGACACTACCCGTGTTACCTCCGTTAGAAGCAGCCGTAGTAGGTCCGAAGCCAGGGAAAGGAATAGGATTAGCAGGGACATCGGGTCCACGCTGTATAATATTAGCATAAGTCAGACATATGTAAAAATCCAACTTACACGACGGCTCCGATGGCCAGAGGTTGGGGTTGAGGGGACTTGGAATCGATGAAAACGGGAGCCATAAGTGGCTCTGAACTGCGCGTTATTGGCCCTGTAGATATAATTAACATATGCTTAGTATATCCATTCACTGAGTTGCACTTACGCAATACGCTCCAGAGCATCGCACCAAAATCCAACAAGGCCATTATCAGGGCCACGACCAGGCTCATGCACGTAGCTCGCATTCTGCCAGCCAAGCTGAAGGATCCAACGCTTGATGGCGTTGTGGGCAGAAATGATGTCCTCCCTGCGCTTGGCACGACGATCAGGCATAACGACTATTTGGTTGGTGCATTGTAAGCATAAGTCAGGCATATCCAATCCACAAGTACTTACGAGCTCCAGCATGCTCCTGGCGTATGTGACGACGCATCGAAAGCCCATCTGGCAGGACCATACCGCACATCTGGCGTGGAGGATTGACCAGGATATCGCAGCTGTTGTAACTCATATTAGTATCCGCCATACATATGTGGAACGTATCCAATAACAACGTACACGCCGATGTTCTCCTTGTTGAGGACAAGGGCCTGGTTTGGAGGGGGGTTCGCCATGATATCAGCCGCCTTGATATCGTACTTGCGGATACCAGCTGCCATCGCTGTGTGGTATGCAATAGGCTTCCACCCTGGGTTGTTGTCTGGGATTGGGCCTGGATATGTTTATTATATGTAAATAACACGTCCTGCGTCCACATACCATGAGCGTAACCCGCGAAGACCTCGGGGTTTACAGCGGTCAAAACCGTGTTGTTGTCAAAATCGTCCTGGGTTGGACCCAGTCCGGGGTGCAGTGCCAGGTTCGCCATGTTGGTTTCCTGGAGATAGTTAACATATGCCTGACGTATGTAAAAACGCGTCAGAGAGGATTGTAAACAGATGTTCATACCTGGGAAAAGAAAATGTGGGTGGTGAAGAAGGAGGGAAGTGGTGGTGTGTTGTTGTTGATAAATTATATATCTCTCACTTTCTTTGTTGATTTTCCTCATGACCCTTCGAATCATTTAATATTGCTTTGTTTGTTTGCAATTTATAACAAGCAAGGCTATTTTGGTCGAATCCTTTTACACCCTCTTAGAAATCTAGACATGAAAGCAATAATATACAACATGTGTATAGTGATGTATTAGGATATAGTGCGTTTTAGTATTAAGTGGGTCAAAGCTTTAGGTAATATTGTATAAAAGTCAACATAAATAGATAAAATTGAGGCATAAAAGCTGAACGGGACCTGCACAAAGCCAGGACCCGATGAGGTGGCAGAGCTGAACGGGACCCGTCATTAGTCATATTTTCACGGGTCCCGTTGAACTTTTCACGGGTCCCGCTGAGCTGGAACCCGGAAATCTGATGTTTTGTTGGTTGGTTTTCATCGTGTTTTTTGGTCTCTGTTGCCTCCCCCTGTGCATTTAGTCGCACACGGTATTCAGCGGGATACTGGAGTTAAGCGGGGGGATTCGTGGGCTCAGCCTTGGGATTAGGCTTAAGCTTAGGCTTAGGCTAGGCTCGGGCTCAGACACAGGCGGAGGCAGGGTCTGGAATAGAGACTCTTTAACCATTCTGAACCTCCATCAACATAAATTCAACTTGAAGTGTTTATCCCCATACTTACCAATGACCTCCATCTTTTCGGACATGTTTAAGCCGCCTGGTCTGGCTGCCCTAGCCACAACCAGGCCGTGTAACGTCGCATGGTGACGAAGGGTGCCTGTTAGATTATCGAAGTACTATGGTTTGTTGGTGCGTGACTCTCGTGAGTAGATTGCTTCAAATGACTTCTTTTAAGGGCATTCAGGAACCCGGCCAAAGTGCTCGCCAACATATATATTGATTTCGCCTCTCTCATTCTATAATTGACATGTTATTGATGACCTATTGATGGGCGAGGTAGCGAAATCCCGACTTACCTTCTCGTAAGGAGGCGAACTGCTTGTCCCAGCCTTGCCATCTTCAATGTATCACTTGTAGACATCCACACCCTCCAAAAATGCGCCATTTCGAATATCTTGAATTGATTGTATAAGTTTTGCAAGAGAGATGCGAGAGACATCGGGAACTTGTGGTTCCCATACAAACATGTCAAACACCGATTTGGAAGGTTGTCTGATCTATGTAAGGTGTACAGAGAGCTTGATGGAAGAGGTTTTGGTACCATGGGATGTTTATATCAGGATTTGACTTTGCGAACTACTTTAAATCCCACTGCGCCGATATGAAATGCCAATTTAACGTTCGGCCCGGGACTAGGAAACAAATGTATACCATGTCTCTACATATATCCAAGGACAGTAGGATAGCACGCCGGATCTAAACTGAAATGAGATTATAATAAGCGTTTATCCCATGGTTTTCCTTTAATATCTTACATCCAATGAGGTCCCGCGACCTCGTCTGTTCGCTTTATAATGTATGTTATGCTGATGGGGACATGAGAGATGCCTGCACCTCTCAGCAGAGCCTTACCAGACATGCATCAACTGCCACAAGTTTCCTCAAATGTGGCAACCAAGAACTTTTCATTCTCTGAAGTTTGTTGTCGATCAATTCAGAGTCCCCGGAGGTGTTCAGTCTCGTAGGATAGATGATCAACTCATTTGTTCTCTCCCTCATCATTTCGAATAGCCTGCATCAACTCGAGCAACTGTCCAAGTTGTTGGTCTGCAACAGAATATAGCTTTAGCATTCGCTTGAAGGATCCGCAGACGGAACAACAACATACCACTCATCTTATCCAACTTGGACTTGTCCAGCTTTTCCCCAGCCCATTGATCACCCTCCAGCTTTTGCGCATACAGCTGCCACTCAGTCAAGAATCCGATCTATCAATGTAAATGTCAGCAACAGCTCTAGCCTTAACAACCAGTCTCTCCGCAGCTCCGCCTCGCACCCCAGTCACTTCCACCAGATATAACCGCCCCAACACAAACAGGAACAAACATACAATATGCAGCGGGTTTTCCACAGTCCTGTGCGCGCGGAATTCATTCTTAACATAAGAATCGCCCAACACGCGCATCTCCGGGTCGAGCTTGCGATGAACGCGCAGGATGCGACGATACAGCTGCAGCGGTGGGAGCAGCGCGAGTGCCTCGCTGAGACTAGATTTCGAGCCGATCGAGGCTGGCGTGGCCATGAGTAAACGCTGAGCGACGCGCATGTTGAAAACTGGAGAGAAGTTCGATGTTGAACTCGAATGACATAATTTCCTGGGGGTTTTCTGTCAAAGGCGGCGTGCGGGACGCGCGAATCAGCGGGTCGGGATGACTCGGGTTCTTTTTTGGGCTTCGTTTTTCGTTCTTACTTCGTTGATGATTTCTGGGTTGTATATTCCAGGGCAAATAAAATGGAAATTACGCTGTTAGTGTGAGCAGCGCAGTCCTGAGCCAACATCGCAACATTTTTCACGATATCATTCCAACACCCCACCAGCGTCATTGGAGCCGCAAGAATTGATACATGATTTTAAATTCCTGAACAACGAAAGATTGAACATATACACCATGCTTCCAACACCGGATACATCTCATGTATCCTTCGACACAATCTACGAGCCATCCGAGGACTCGTATCTCTTCCTAGACACATTGTCATCAGCATCCGAATCAAAATGGCTCATTGAACGATTCGACAAAACCAAGCATACATCACCATTAGTGGTCGAAGTAGGCACAGGCTCAGGCGTAGTCCTCGGCTTCGCAGCCGCACAATCCGAAAAGATCTTCGGCCGACGCGATATCCTCACGCTAGGAACGGACGTGAATCGAAATGCGTGTCTCGCAACGCGGGAGACGGTAACGAATGCCATCAAGGCGGAGCAGCAGCCGAATCCACGCACTGTTCATATTTCTTCCTTAACGGCTGACCTGTGTGCGCCTCTACGTCCTGGGAGCGTTGATGTTCTGCTTTTCAATCCGCCTTATGTTCCCACGGAGGATTTGCCTCGTTTGCCTTGTGCTGTCGACAATGATCCTGCTGCTACGGCGGCTATGTCTCGCTCTGCCAAGTTTGATAATGATTCTTACTTTTTGTCGTTAACTTATGCTGGTGGTGCTGATGGTATGGAGACTACGGATCGGTTGCTTGACGCTATTCCTGGGGTTTTGTCAACGCATGGTGTGGCTTATGTTTTGCTTTGCAAGCAAAATAACCCTGATGTTGTTAAGGAGCGGATTCGTGGGTGGGGTGGGTGGCAGGCTGAGTCGGTGGGATCGAGTGGGATGCAGGCCGGGTGGGAGAAGTTGGTTATTGTGAGGATATGGAGAGATGATCGCTTATAGTTTGTGCAACAAGGAGAAAATATTGAACCTAAAAGCTCTGGTGAAAAAGAGATACCATTTGTTACTTTCATCATTATGGACATGTAATGAACTACAAAGGCTCGTGGATTGAATACTTATCCGCATCTAAAGAGCATTGGGATATTGTCTGAGAATACTGTGTAGAGCATGAGCCCTGAATTACTAACAACTGAAAAGCCAGTTGGACCACACGGGATTGCTACAACGCTAGAGGCATAAGTAAGAGAAGCAACATATGAAGTTGGGTATACTTAAATCAAGACCACGTCTGGTATGGAAGGCACAAAAGAGCATGTTAGCTGCTTCGAGTAAGTCATTGTGATGCTGCATGGAATGCTCATATTATTTTGATATCCCCCGAATTTGTTCTTATTACTTTAGACTGTACGACTAAAATACACTACGCGAAACTGTAAAAGATTTCTTGGGCTGTAAGCAGTGGCCTAAGCAGATTTACACGGCGTCCTAACAAAACGGATATATACAATTGTTGATCTCAAGCGATAGGAGATACCCCCTGCTCCAACGTCAGCGTCAGTAGAACTGCCATTCTCAGACAAGGCTTGCCCATCTGACATGCGATTTGATCGGCGCGGCATCATACTTCTTGGCCCCCAAACGGCAAGATGAGTTCCATGGCCGAAGTCGCCGGGCGAGCAACTCTCCATGAAAGTTAAAAAACTAAATGCTATAGCATCAAAGCTAATGTGGGGGGGCTGGAACTACCCTTACAGTAGTGTTACTATTGAGATCGGCGGTGGCGCTTTTACGTGTGCCCTGACAGAGGGTCTTGATAGGGTTGCATATGTCCCAGTGAAGAAGCTCACAGTAAGTCCGACATGAGCCGTGGAGACATTGTCGAGCAATTACCACATCGAGTTAATGAACTGACTGTCTCAGCTTCGTTGTCTTGTGGGTACCTAGGTACGCTTATTATCAATTACAGTGGCTGATCTGCAATCAAAACAAATTAATTACTCAAAGTCAATATATGGTATCAGAGCAAGTGAGCCGTCCAATACAAAGATGAGCAGTTAGTTCCATGTACCGGCATGTACAGTATACATGTCATCACGGCTTAACATTGGACTTCATGGGATTTACTATCCAAGCTATGCAATTTGTGCAGGTGGATTTGTTTCGACACTAAATAAATGTTTAAGATACAGACCTTACTTGTTTTTTACAGCCTTGACCCTCATGGAAATGGTGTGCTATCGTACTTTTCGTTTACTATTGTCTCAAAGGGCGCCGAATTGCTGATCCCAACCACTATCAAACTTGGCATGGGGCCGTCACAAGAAGCTCGCAGCCGACGCCTTCTTGGTCCAGATGACTCAAAATAAGGCCTCGATATTCAATCGCGACAGACACGTAGTCAAGATCATCAGGCCGCCATGAATATTGAGGCTGGGAAGTGTGTACAGGGGGCATGCCTCGAGAACTAATCTATAGTAGCAGTCAACCATGAACCTATTTAGCCTTCTAGCCTTAGCTGATGATCGTAATAGGGTTCGGCTCCTTTCGGAAGGCTTGACTGGTGTTAGTGCATGTAAGTACACGTACTTCCTCGCTCCTTGGCGACACACACCTAGCGTACTCGCTTTTGAGTTGCAGATGCACAATGCACCTATGTCCTTGTTTGCTAAACATACTCGACGATGACTTGTTGAAAAAGAACAGCGGTCCCGATAGCCCAAGTGATAGTACCGATGTGGAGTCTATATTGCTTTGCCCGTTGGATGCACGTTGTGATATGGCTCGAACTATATGTGACGGTGTCATACACCGTGTACCAAGAACGTGCCGGAAAACGCAATATATATGATTCCCGAGACCGTTTTTTCGGCATGCGAGTGCAACGCTAATGAAGCCCGACTAGCCCGGACTGCAAGCCTGGTCACAGTTTAGAGTGCTAAATTTGGACATGGGCTTGTCAATCCCCGGGGTCCCAGGGTGGGTATAGTCCGTTGGTGATTGACATATGCAAGTGGGAGTCGCTAAGCCGGTGCAGTGACAAATTACGAGACTGGCTGGTCTAATGTTTACTAGTGGAAACGTTGATCTACTCAAGGTGCAGGCATGACCTGTTTTGGGAATTGCTCCAGTGTAGATCGGATTAGTCTTTGCGATATCGAAGTTTGGCGGACAATCCACCGGCTCTACAGATACAGACAAGGCCAATAAGCAGATGGGACACACATGGGCCAGATTGGAGATGTACTCTCTCGATGCTCCCGCAGTAAATTGACAGTCTAGTCCGCGTCAATACCTCGCCAGAGGCACAAAAATGAACTTCATGAGATCGAGAAGTATGCTACTCAGATGGTAGGGAAATTAACACCGATTCAATTGCTTTGTCTCAGTTTATCGCCATTCAAGTCGGAACCCCTGGGTAATGGAAAAATAGGATAAAAGATATCCCGTGATCATGCATGTTGAAACCGAATTTCGAAGACATAAACAAACGCCGGATTGTCCTCTCAAGAAAACAGAAAAAAAGTCTAGAAGCCACGCCCGCGGCCGCGACCACGGCCACCTCCACGGCCCCTGCCGCCTCGCGGTCCACCACGGCCACGACCACGGTCTGTCTCCTTGCGCGCCTTGTTCTTAGGCTTGGGCGCATCATCCACAAGTAGGGTGTCGAGGGGCAAGCTGTCGGGTAGGATGTAGTAGCGGATTGTGGAGCCGCGGATGTTGATTGTGTCGAGCGAGATAGGGTCACGGCCCTTAGGAGTCATCTTGACGGTGCGGAGAGAGGTGTTCATCTGCGGGGAGACGGACATGATAGTGCCATGAAGGATTGTGCCTGCATTGCATATTCAAGTTAGGAAAGACGGGTCTTGGTTTTTTTTCTTTTTTGGGTGGAATGGCGACTTCGGTGAATTCGAAGGTCTTTAGATTCACAAGAATTGCGCGGGGGACTAACCGTTCTTGAGCTCAACGGTGACCGTTTCATTGGCACATTTCATTAAAAAGCTAGAAAGAGAAATATACGTCAGCTGGAGTGAACGAAGGTGATGCGCCTGGCGGAGCTGGTGCTCGCGCATGAAAAGTGGGATCGCGTACCGGACGAGCTTCATGGTGAATATGTGAGCTGCAAGCCAGGTATTATTTCACTTTGATGAATTGTCAAGTCACCAGAGAGCTAGCAGAATGTGGGGACGACGGACGTGGGTTGGTGTTGGTGATGAACAGATGCAGAGAAGATCGGATCAGGTGATATCAGTCACGTGGTGTACATTTTGGCTTCAGCAATTCCCACTTCAACGACGGATTAATCAGTTTCATAAACAAAGTCTCGTAAATTGTCTGGTAGACAGTTGGGAAATAGTGGCATGCAGATTTGAACACCATTGACCTGTTCTGACATGTTTTCTGATTCTCGTCTGCCACACTGCCAACCACAGGTTCACAACAAAGCAAATGATCGTGATTTTGGAGCCTTTACCGAATATTTACCATTGCCGTCCTCTTCACAATCCGAGTTAGAGGATAATTTTTAGTTCAACGCAATCTACCAGTCAAAACAATCAACCAAGGTTCATCCTCCTTGATATGCAAGTGGTGAGTTGAAATGGCCCCTCCGCTGATCCATGAATATGATCAACAGGGAACATGTGTGCAATTTCTGCGTGTTGTTCCCTGAAGATCAGTCTTCGGCCAACATACCGTCTCCAGAAGAGGCAGCCTAGAGCCTGGAGTCTAGGGCCTATGGCAGTGCTCTTTCTGTTGCCTCTTCTCCTGAAAATCCCAAAACAGCGGGATCAGATTGTAACAATATTTGCGTATAATCCTGATAGTATTGGCCTCAAAGCCAATTCCTTGTCCCTTGTCTTGACATTGCTTCAACAATTCCCCCATGTGTCGAATCTGCTTGGTGGGTTCGCCAATCTTGCTCGATGCTACCACCACTGGACCAGACCGACCATTTCCTCAACGGGTATGCTCAATGAAACATCAGGGCGTATATGTCACTGGCAGGACACACAGGATACAATCTAGGTTGTTACCACAGAAGTTTATAGGGGTAAACGAAGTGAACTCCGAAGTAGGGCAAAGAAAACCACAGTCAAATAAGTTGAAATGACCGCGGTTCAAAGGTCTGACAGCCTGTCAAATTAACCATAGCAATTTCTAGCATTGGCTAGTAGGAGAATAGACTTGATTTCTGTGGGTCTCCCACGAGGTAGAGAATTAGCATCAAAACTACCCTAATCTAGAATGCTACATTAGGTGCATAGACTCGCAATGATCTCCCACGCAGATAGCGATTTTCTTGATAAGTGCGGATATCGGACCCCTGTGGAGAGAGGCGATCTTACACTCCCGAACTGCTGCAATTGGCTTCAATACCCCATGGCTTCGGGAACTGACAAATTGCCACAGCGCTAACTGACCGGATTACTTCATATAGCTATTAGAGATCCTGTCCTGTTGAGATATTTCAAATAGCTCTTGGCTATTCCAGCTCCACGTTTTTTTACAGCCACACGACACTACGAGTGGGCCCCGCTTAAACGGGTCATCGGCCACATAAGACCTATAACAACGCTAATTTCGAAAGCTAGGACATTTTGGTGCCTGCGGACTACCTATTCCGACAGGGGCACCGACTGGATCGTCTGGGGCCGAAAAACGTCTTGTGTATTGTCCCCGGGATCTACATTCCTCTGGACACCATTTGCCTAGATCGGACCATCCTTTCTGTGTAATGGAGTGAAAAGAAGAAACCTAATGCATTTGAATTAGGCCAATGTCACCTCCCCTAAGATTGGTTGTTAGGTACGAAAAAGTGAAATCTCTTCCTAACCGCGTGTTCGTGGGGGCCAAACTTGATAGGGGACCACATTGTCAAGCACCGTCGGGCCGGAGATGGTGTTTCAGTGTCTCCAAGCGAGTATACAGGTAGCTAGGCAGAAGATATAGCTTGAAATGAGAAATTTCGAGAATTGCCAGCCATAGTACAAGCGTATGGCCCCCAAGGGCCCAACTTGGCCCCCGGTTCACTTTTTAGTACAATGGGGCTAGAATTTACGCCCAGACCAAGCTCCGTTAGAATCATGGCCCCAGTCGTAATCCTCCCGAGTCCTATTCCCACATAGGCTCTGGCTAGGGCCCCGTCATCTGTGGGGTCCAAAAGTCCACGAATTCGCTCGTGATAGTTCTCATCGGCCCACCTCATCGAGAGTTTTTCTTTTATTGATCACGGGGCCAATGATATCACACCTCCAATTGTTGTCAACGGGTAACTAACACAAGTGCGTTTCAGTCAGGATCGGGGCAACAGGTATTCTAGAAACTGTTTCCTGTAGGCCAAACCTACGCCCTCGGATCACGAAAGGTTTGCGGAGAAGATGAGTTTTATAAGCGCCTTTAAAAACCTCAGTACGCCCGAGATGTGGCCCATGGGTGTCAGAAACTAAAAGTCTTCTGCCATATTAACGGGATTCTGGACACCTGTATGTTGATTCTTATGCGAGTGCCACTTTTCCCCTTATACCCATTCCCGGCCCCCCGCCCCCTACTGCTTGCAATCTCTTCTAGGTCTATGACCTATATAGTTCCTAATGTTCCCTGGAGCGTTTGGCTCACAGGAATCATCTTCTCGCAGAAATCACCCTGATCTATCAGAATTTCCTGCCACAGAGCCCGAAGTTGGGTCCCTGTCTTCATTGGTCGAATCAGTTGAATCGCCAGACTTTTCACAGAGTCTTCCCAGCTCTGCCGCTACGTGGTCTGATCAGAGTCATATCTCTATAGACAATTCGCAATCAACACAAGAGTTTGGACTGTCGGTACCCCCTCAGCACTCCACATCCACGCTGAATTCCAGCCCGAATCAGCCTCGCAAGCAGGTTGTCTTGAATGACCAACATAGACCAATTACCCGGTCCTCTCTTGAGAGCCAGGGCCCTGCTGAAGGGCAGCTTACCTTGAACAATACCCCGTAAGTTAGATTTCGGCCGCCGTTTTGCGGATTCGGTGCTGACTAGGGCATCCCACTTGCAGCAGCCTTGGCATCTCATCCTACTCCATGTCAGTAGTATCGGACGCCTATTTTGCTGGCCCAATGCAGCATCCTCACCGTATGGAGCATTGTCTACTTCTGATAGGAAATACAATTGCTGACTCTTCCAGACCATGCTTGGGCAAATCGCCCGTATCAGTCTTTGCAAGTGCCACATGAACACATGAACCCGCCGTTTGCATCTTCGCAATCGTCCTACTCTTCACCGGGCTACCCAGTTGGCTACCCTAGTCATTCAAGCGCTCCGCTACCTAGTTATCCCCAGCAAGTACCGGTGTCTTATCTTACAGCATCTGGTAGTGCTGCTCGTCAGAGCCAACCTCGAAGGTAAGCCACATTCCCTCGTGTCATTGTAGAAAAGACTGACATTGTCGGTTAAGTCCCCCTATGTCACGTCCTTTCCAGTCTACATCTGCCTCAAATACGCCTCTCTTGTCCCAGGAGCCTCTCATGACTACGTAAGTCCAAAGGACTGCCTATGAAGATCTAGGGCACCCAGTAATTAGGTCATTAACGCCGTTAGCAGCCCGCCTTTTATGATGAACCAACCGGCCTACTATCTTGCTGAGCCACCATCAATCCCGTAAGTAGTCAATCAATCAAAGAAAAACGAAATTACGTACTAACCGCAAACCAAACCAACAGATCCCAGCCCGCATCTACCAACTCTCAACCACCACCAATGGTCTCCCCAGAACCAATATACTCTCCATCCAATTCAGCAGCAACATCAGATTCAGATCCAGTCCGAGTAGTCAGTTCACGGCCGCGGCCACAATGCTGGGATCATGGCTGCAACGGTCGCGAGTTCTCAACGTTCAGTAACCTCCTCCGTCACCAGCGAGAAAAGTCAGGCGTTGTCGCCAAAGCCGAGTGCCCAATCTGCGGTGCGGTGTTTACACGGACGACTGCACGAAATATCCATGTTGCGCAGGGGAAGTGCAAAGCTTCAGGCAGGGAATCCTCGACGGAATAGAAGCACATATCATGGTCACTTTTGGGGTTGGGGGCGATTCAGGAGTTTAGCATTTGGAGTTCTTGATCTCCTTTCTTTTTTCCTATGCTATCAGTGAGCTTGGGAATTAAAAGATTTCTCAGGGAGAAATTTGGGCATATTTAAGGGGCACTGTAAATACATTTTGAGCGCATCTGCACAATTGAGTCTTGTGGTGATGGCACTGGAGCCTCATGGATAGTGGTGTGAGCTGGCTCATACTGTTTATATTTAGATGCATTTCTATAAATACCATACTTTTCGCATTCGTGATATGAAACTGGGGCCAGATTTTGTACTTGGACTTGATCCATTCACTGGTCACGATCTTAGATCAGGGGAACATCGAAGGACGAGCGCTGTACGCAAGTATATATTCTGACCAAGCGAGCCTTAGAGTAGCAGACCCTGAATGCTATACTTTCTTTGTTGTTTTGTGATCAGTAATGACTGTTACTTGCGGAGGAGTACGTAAGGCTGCGTATTTGGCCTTCTAGGATGCTTTCCAGAGTAGGCATAGTTCTATTTCCCTAGAACCATAGTGGAAAACCAATATAGAAATCAATCAAAGAGACATCTCAAAAGATCTTCAGATAAATGCAACTCTCATGAAAAATTTAGTCCAGTTGGACCGACTCCTCGTGATAGCCCCATAATTGCTAATCAGAAGGATTGTTGTCTCTTTTATCATTCCATCTTTGAGTCTTCAGTGAAACCACAACTCAACTCAACTATCACATCCAGGATCATATTCATTCAGCAAATGGAGAATGGCGTTATTCTACTGTGTCTTCTGGAAGATCTTTGGTGGCCCAAATATTGCCAACACCCCCTGCGCTCCCCTTTCCGTCAACTTCTTTTGGATTTGGTGCCACAACGCGTTATCGACTATCACTGTGAACTGGAAAAGATTCATACATGTGTTGTTCCAGGGAAAATCTGTCGAGCGACTGGCTGAGAGCAAAGATCTTCTTCGTTCGTCTAGGCACCAACCGTCGTGGAGCATGGGCTTGGATTCTCTCAAAGGTTTGCGGATGACACTCTGTAGCACTCTTCAATGCCCGATAGAAGACTAATTATACCATTATTGAAGGCCCTAGATTCATCTCCTGCGATATACAAGTCCGAACCTAACCTCTCACAACTACGCCGAATCGAAAGTGTCGCCCACCCCTCCTAATACAAATTATCTTGATAGAATTATCGTTACGAACTCGATTCAAGGCTTATCAAGATAACACATGGGAGTTTCAAGCACGACCAGATGATACTATACTATTTCTTGTTAGATGCGACGTCAGGCTGTGACAGAGTCACTGGAAACAAATGAGGTTACATACAAGGACAAGCGTGGCTGGGATCTCTCTCGAGGATGAGAGTCTCCACTAGTTGCTGATGTGACTGATGCCCAGTCCAGTTTGATTTTGGGATAGAGTCTGGCTCTGTTGAGATCATCGGTGTCCGAATGGCGCTTTGGTCTTGGTAATTACAAATGATGGCCATAACTACCAGTAATGCTCCTGTCTGGAATTCTGGCTCCTCTGAGATTGTGGCACTGGAAAGTAGGGTTCCTGACTTTGGGCTGCGTCTTCAATTACAGTGTACCAAAAGGATTCATGCATTCTGGGACAGGCTTTGATCTATACTGAACAGCTCCTGCTGACGAGTTTGAACTGTACTGTGAAGAACAAATGACCTCTCAACTTAAGATCTTGGCTTCAAGTCAGGGCTGCAGGGATCAGACCTTTTCTTTGCAAATTACAGATATTATCGTTGCTCAAATATACGTTGGCACCAATGCCCAGAATGTGCGAAGCGCCACACTATGAACGATATTATCCTGACTACTCCCATCCAGCTTTTCTATGCAATTATAGCTTATGGCTTGCCAATCATAATCCCAACACTGCTTGCTAATTGGACAGGCAACAGTGAGATCAAGATGTCACAAAGGCCTTGATTTTGACAGCATTCCATACCCAGAAACCGACTCTATGACCCCTTATCAAGCAGCACAGAGGCCAAAGAAAGAATGGCTACTACAAACTCAAGGTCGCTACCAAAGCTCCCCCTCACCTGCCAAAAAAGAATATGGGATTTACGTTATATATAGTTGAGAATGACCGAGCCCATGACCATTGGATGATGAGTGTCCTCAAGGCTAGGCTATGATATTTATTTCCATATGAGCATATTCAAAAGCCAAACACATAAATAGACAAAGGGACACGGCGGAAGAGTTCAACATGAAGTCGCAGTAAAGTCGTGGGGAAAACATGGCCACGTGACACACCGGCCCGTGACTGTTCTGTGACTCAGTATTGGCTGTCCAGTGCTTTGTGACTGTCTCAGTACAAGATGCATTCCATTTCTCTAGTTCCCCTATTGCTTGCTTATTCCCCATATCAGCGCTCATTACCTCGAATGCCTCCAATACCGGTCTGATTTGTAACTGTTTAGCCATGGCATCAATTTTCACTTACGACCCAGACCCGCCGCGGGTATCGTCACCGTGGTCAACCTCGGGATCGTCGACCCCTCAGCTCAATCTATCTGGTGGTCGCGGGTTAGCAATTCGCACGCGTTCTAGCACTACTCCGCTACGCGCTGACCCAGTTCTGTTGTCCGACTATGGAATTTCAAAATTGGAACCAGAGCCTCAAGAAGGCCCCACAGAGTACAAGTTACATCTGCTTCTTCGACCCAGACGTCCCTATCTTTCCATGTCAACAGGGAACGTAGTTGCGGGATCATATCATTCACGCATTCTGCCACCATCCTCTACCTCTGCATCCCCGGGCTCTGAGGCAGCTCCGAAGCCCATGCAAGCCAAATCAAATCAGAGCCGCCAGCAACGACTACAAGGGTTGACTACCCAGCTATTATGGCGCCTGCAGCAATCTTCGCCATTTCACTCATCCACCACCTCAAATCTTGTGTTGCCTGTTCTCCCCGATGCAACTCCCCAGTTAGGTGTTCCTTCCAAGCCTGCCCGCTTGCTTCCTGGTCTCGAAGAGAGCCAAGGTGCTTTGTATGAGATTGGAGTTGCCGACGATGGAACCTTTGTCGGTCTAACTCAAGATGAGTTGGACGAGAGCATCACCAATCTCCAGTCTATGGCTGCAAGTCTTGGGTGTAAGGTCGAGGTCCTTCGCCGCGTCGTGGTCGGGAAATGCGAGTGGGCAGTGGAAACGCCAGATGCACCGCTAGATGCACCGCCCGATCCGGCCACGAATACCGTCGAAGGACTCTGGGTTGTTGAGGCGTTGGTAAGCCCAGATCTGGACTTTTACAACATCTCCCAGGGCAAGTCAATACATGACTCACAATCCACTGCAAAAGCCGAGTCTGGAAATGTGTCAGCTGTGGACGAAGATTACTCGCACACGGAGCAAATTCGGATTTCTATTGCAGGTCCCAGCACCGCAGGAAAGTCTTCTTTGCTGGGTACATTAACGTCTTCGGCGCTTGACAATGGAAGAGGCAAAAGCAGATTGAGTCTTCTGAAGCATCGACACGAGATATCATCGGGAATTACCAGTTCAGTCGCCCAGGAACTGATTGGATACACCGATGAGGCGCCACCTACCGTGATCAACTATGCCTCTGGGAATGTTGCTGGCTGGGATGATATACATGCCGCCTCACATGGGGGTCGTTTGGCCTTTGTATCCGACTTACCAGGCTCCGTTCGATATCTGAAGTCCACACTGCGAGGGCTTGTTAGCTGGGCTCCTCACTACGTGATGCTTTGCATCCCGGCTAACTGTGGTGATGAGACGACCATGATTGAACAAGGGACCGAACATTCAGAGATTGACCTCTGCCTGGCATATCTCGAACTCTGTTTGAAACTAGAACTCCCTGTGTTAATTGTCATCACAAAGCTAGATGTTGCTTCCCGCAGTGGATTGCGAGAGAATCTCGCCAAAATCCTTTCGGCAATCAAAACCGCCAATCGGAAGCCTGCAATGCTCCCTGCAAGCCCTGCCAGTGACAAGGTGCTTGACCTTCAGCATATTAGCACCCTGGAAAGCACTCAAGTACGCAAGGCAATCGACGCCGCCGAGGGGAAGTGGTCATACACTGTGCCGATTATCTTGACCAGCGCTGTGGATGGATCCGGCATAGGGAAGCTACATGCTTTCCTTCGCTATCTACCAATTCCTGCCCATCCCTCTCAGAGAATCCTTCGTATTCCCAAGGCTTTATCTATATCTCCCCACGACACCGGCAACGTCTTTGATGTAGACGAGGTCTTTGCCATCCCACCTTCGAAGGTCTACTCAATAGCCTCGGAGAAGGGCGGCGAAGAGAACCGTGGAATGGTCCTTTGCGGCCTGGTCCGCCACGGCAGCATCTCTATCGGCGATGAGATGGTCATTGGTCCAATCCTGGTGGACGTTCCTAGTGACTCGAATAACGAGCCTCCACCCTCGGTGGGGACCCTGTCCCGCAGCGGGCCGGGTGATGTGTCGGCATCATTCCCGCAGAGCCTCCTATCCGGCAAAGACTCACAGGCCAGATGGCAGCGTGTCCGCGTCGTCAGCGTGAGAGATCTCCGCCTACCAGTCCGCCGCCTAGTGAAGGATCAAGTAGGCACAATCGGTATAGAGCCCATAGGGTCTTCCGAAGACAAAAATCTACCGCGCCTTGGCAGAATCCGTAAGGGCATGGTTCTCTCAAACTTGCATAAATCGCCCTCATACACCACCTGTATATCGGCCGATTCCTCACTATTACCGTTACCATTCCACACCGGATTCACCGCAACATTCCGATCTACTGAGTTCTCCGCTCCGAACTCCCTCCTCTTCTCCTTGGAGGCAATGCCATTGCATATATTGCCAACATTCGCACTACTGTCCGCGTCATCTGCATGGCGTTAACTGGGACCGACGAGAGATTATCATCCGAACCGCCCTCCCCTTCTGAACCGGAGCTCTTCAACTTCGACGGCGATCCCCAACCCCCTCTCGGGGCAAACCCCACTGCAACGGGGCAACAAACGGTAATGCCAGCAATAGCTTCGGCAGCGATGGGACCGCCGAAGCAGTCCGGCGTCGTCCCTCAGCAACGGACATCAGCAAAGTCATCTCAGGAACTATACCCGCCTCCATTGTCGGCGTCGCATCCTCGGCGGAAGCCCTGAAAGAAGACGTCAAGATTACCTTTGCACTTGTATCTTCTGTGGAGTGGATCGAGCTGGACTCTCAGGTGCTTGTTATGCCTGGTATTTCCATGGCTTCTGCTTCGTCTCAGGCTGCTACCACGGTAGCATCTGCGCCTGGCTCTGGTTCGGCTTCCATGTCCGGACTTGAGGGATTTGTCGGCGCCGTTAGTGAAGTTGTTCCTGGGCGGGTCCCAGTGACTGAGGGGTGAAGTGATACTTTGCAATATGGTATGAGCATTGATGGAATCCTATTTTATTTGCTCTTAACCCTTTTTTTCTTTTCTTTTCTTTTTTTTTTTTTTTTTTTTGAGATCTTTGGCTGGATATTGGCCACATAGGCTATGTGTCTGCATTTGATATTCGTAGGGGACTGCTTTGCCTTCCCTTCTGTTTTGTTACTTTTACATATACCACCGAAGAGTTCTGTAATAACTGAACAAAATCTACCAAGATTGGAATCATTTACGTTCATCTCATTGTCTTGAAAAGGAGTTGTTGTAGCAATTGACTTGGTTACTATTTTCGACTTGAGGACACCGACATGCCCGAAGTTCAAGAAACAAGGGATATCAGTTTGTAGCAATACAGCCAGCCCGGCATGGTGACAAGCAGAGCCTATCAAGAGCCGGGCTATAGCAAATGATTCCGCCGGGTCATCCATCCCCTTAAACAAGCAGTCATCTGACCACGCAGTCGTCTCATTAAACCCGCTTTCGGATTCTCTCAATCCCATTTCAAAATCGATTTTAGGTTGGGGTATTTCTATCAACTGTTTTCGAACGCCGTGGACAGGCTCGAATGCCACGCTAGACCTCTCCAACGATATCACCGGATGTCTGCGTGTCCGAAGGTCGGAGTTGGCACGATTATCCGCCTTTGCGCTGGTCGCCGGGGATATTGGGATGGCGAGAGAAGGTGCTAGTGGATCCAATAGTGGCGCTCGCATTGCGAAGCTCGATCTTCTTGCGCTCCATCTCGAGCTAGAATTCAATTTTTTTAGCTCCATATGCGCTGACTGCTCAACAGACAAAGGGGACACTTACCACCTTGCGCACTCGAGCGAGCGCTGCTGTATCACCGTCGATAATCGGGCGACAATCGTCAGACTTGTACGGAGCCGAAATGGTCACGGCATCCGCGACAACAATGTTGTTTCCATTCCAGCGCGCGGGCATAGTACGGCTGAAAGCATCGAAGAGCTCCTGAGCCTCCCGAGTGACGCCCTTGCCACGACGCGCTTCGCGCTCGTGCAGCTCGCTAATCGCCTTCATCTCGCGTGCCCTCAGCGCACGGGTGTCGAGCGCCTGAATTGTGGGTTGGGCGTCGGTGAACGAAGACGAGGTGGAGCTCGAGGGCGCAGCAAGGGAGAGGATTTGGAAGCCTTGGATGCGCGAGATGGGGATGACATGATAGTCACCGTTCTGGGCCTGTTTGACGTCGCCGGGGTTGGGCGCCGGGGCGGTGTTGATGGCTACAAGGCTGGTGATCGGATCGACTGTGAACAAAGTACCTTCGTGGGTTATCACATTGGGTTGGGCGGTGGTGAGGCGCACACTTGAATACGGAAATCGAACGTGTCAGCCCCGCGATTCGACAGGAAGGATTAAGAGTTGGTCGCAGACACTCACCGGGCACCGATCGCCCCGCTCAATGCGGCCTCCAAGGGCACCATAGCCGCCATGCCGGAGCTTGATGAGTTACCAGATGATTTTTGCGCGGACGCCTTCACTGAGCTTTGGCGCTTGTTCTCCGCCATAGAACCTTTGGCCTCTAGCCTCCACGGACGAGCTGCTTGACGTCCACGATAGGCTCAACTACCCCCCGAATAAAGGGGAGGTCTGATTATGAATGAGGCGCACTGGTCAAGTCCTAGATGACGGGGATCAGGACATCGGAAGCAGAGTAGCTCGGAGTGGTATCGGACCTGGAATATCCCCGGATTGCGGTCAAGGTGGCCCGTGGGGTTCCTGGGCGTAACGAGCGTGGCTCAAGCTGGGAAATGCAACCCCAAAGGAGAACAAGAAATAAACACCCCCAGGAAATTATGGGAGAACAATGGACTCGACTTTGTGATGGCAGGGTCGACGTTGCACGGGTGCCCATTTGGGTCTAGCGTGGCAGATTACTTCATCGGCGCCTGAGGCTGCAATCTATATCAAATGCTATAAAAAGCAGTCTTCTGATTTATTCCACCACCGATGGAATATCGAAGGAAGTAACATTGCTATTAGTTGCCTAAAGGGACTGTGTATATGTGATTGAGCGTGCTTGGATCGCCCTCTCAAATTGCTGGAACATCTCCCCCAGTCCACTCTAAATGTCAACAATTTACTTTGCACTACAACACAGAATCAATTCGACAGTTGCTACCGCAAATCTCAGACAAACTAAGCCAGTCACAGCATATTTCCACGGGCGACTTTATTACCTACTTCTCTGACCTTCTATCCCACTTTCCAAGCTTGATAGAATGCTGCTAGACTTAAATTCTTATGACGTGTTGAATTGATAAATATGTGGCCAGTAACCGCTTATTGCTGTGCGTATCTGCGTCATTTGGCCAGATATAGTGTAAGCCAAGGTGAAGACTGAAAGACCACGATTGTATGTCGTTTTTGAAGGCTGGGTTTTTGGTATAGGTAAATGATAGTACAAAGGAGGCCATCACCCGTGATTGGAACGCTCACTCCTTGGGGCTTGTACCAATAAAGAGAGTAGGTGCCCACTGCGCAAACGGCGAATCCCAGTGTCAAGGTTTCCAATTGAGAACATAGCAGACCTCGACTTCTTCGAACAATGAGTGTAATACAGCAATAGCTTTCAAGAAAACGTTCTGTTTACTTTTGTCCTGAATGCCATTTTCGTCGATATTCGGCATAAGAAAATTCCCAAGCTCTTGCGCATATTGGAAAGCTGTCAAAAAAAAAAAAAAAAAGAGGCTTCTTCGTCTTTTCCCTTGAAATATAAACCACCCATATTTGCGAAGTATGAATGCGTGAGCGTCCATTCAGCCTCTTCATTATGGCGTGACTCTTGCTCATTCAAATAGCCCTCATTCCGCGCTCCTTGGGCCTTTTTCGGAAGAAACGGCCTCATAATACGAGGATACTTTGCCATCTTCCGACCAGTGCTCTGGCTGACCTTATTAGTAGCCTCTATCGCCATCATGAGTTCGAAGATAGCATGAGCCAAAATGAACTCTGGAAATAGTATCGTAATGATCGTCCATTTTGAAGTTCGCAGGAGCTTTCTTATCGTTTCGTCGCCTCAGATAGGGCAGGCAAGTTAAGATGTTGGACGCTCCAAGTGCAAGCGACGATGGTTGTTGCGCAACTAAGAATGAAGTCCCATGTACCCCGTCGACTCGGACTACCTTGCCAACCAACTTGATTATCGAAAGTTGCAGTTTCATTTGTCGCTTTGGCAGGCACAAGGATCAAAAGAATAAAATAGTTTGTAGGATCATCATGAAGGAGCTGCTTCCACTTTTCCATGTTGTAGGTATTGTGGGATTATAACAGGCTGGAGAATATCCAAATGGACATGGATCACTCAGGTCGTTCCAAGATTAGCGTCTAACGGCTGAGCTGGGCGGGTACTTCCCGTCCCGTAGTGATCCATCTGCATGTATCCGCAGGAAGGCACCAATGGCCATGTCACAGCAGAAATAAATGCCTTTACTACGAGCCACTATGGTCGAACAGCCCTTCAAGCCGCAGCAGCGCAGAACCATCTGGAAATGGTAAAGCTGCTTTTTTCCTATGGAGCAGATATCAATGCCTTGCCTGGACCTACGTGTGGTCGAACAGCCATTCGAGCCACTGCAGAGCGGAACCATTTTGAAATGGTAAAGCTGCTTCTCTCCTATGGGGCAGAATACAAATAAGCTCGCTTACTATGGTACCAAAAACATCGAGGTCGATGCCGTGCCCGGGTTCATCCTCGGGACAACAATCTCAGGAGCTGAGTGGGAAATATAACAATTTGGAAGCATGGATTTTTTGAAAGCATTGGATTCACCTTGTGGAAGATTACCAAGCCTATCCCCAGATCGCCTACTATTTTAAAGAAAATCGATTGGACGTGCTTCGTTCAGAGATGTGCCAGGCTTATTGCTGGGCTAATCATAATCATGTTCGTTTCCATAGACGATTCGCTGCTACTGTTGCTGTGGTAAGGGTGAGAGGTTGGCGGAGCTCGGTGATCCGGATCGATAGCAAAAATGCTTCATACTTAATTCAGTGGCAGGAGATAAGAGCGCGAGTATCTGACAAACAGCGAACAAAAGTAGGGTGGTAGGGGCCTTTATAGAACCACGACGAACAAGGACGAGCCCTAAACCAGAAGTGTCAAGCGCTAAACAAATCTTACCTTGAAAGAGCGTACATGTAATTCGCAAGCACATTCCGATATGATGTATCTGTAGCTAGACGTTGCAAGTATTTGACTGGGCTGCAATATAATCCGAGGTTATAGGGTTATGTTCACCATTAAAGCTTAGTATTTCCCAGGATCTCTTGGTTGTCTATTCCCCGGCTATTTTCCTCTCCTAGGATTGATTATTTAATTCAATGGAGCGTCCACTGAAAGACATACGTACATCTATATTCCTCTAAGAGTAAAATGGAGTACGACTACAAAGATATTTTGCTGAGGGATAATCAAGCCCATTGGCATCGCTTTTGCAAAACTATGATACATGGTGGTCATTCAAAAAAAAGAGGTGCGCCAGAGCTTTAGGCGATGCTGTTCCCATCCCAAAGCTGTCTATGATCGTAAAATGGTATCCCATGAGGGTATTGAGAAGGCTGCTGTAGACTCTGATGATGCAAGGGCATCAAGCATCAAACCTTAGCAGCGGCGAATCCGACATAGCGCCCCTTTGAGTAGAACAAAGAGGGACCTAGCCATGCGGATTACTTTTGATCTTCCGCTTTGGTGCAGCTGAAGATGGCTAGACTTATCAAGTGATAACTATGCCAGATGGGTGGAGGTCGGAAAGGGCTAGAGCCTATTCCATGAAAAGTAGGCTGGAGAGCTTCTTGAACGGACAAAATAGGGTATCAAGAGTATGTATGACCTTTTCTAGGTCAAGTAAAAAGACGCATTACATCTTGCGGAAAGTGTTTCCAGAGGCACTGCGACGTTCCTTTGCCCGGAACGAGTTGTCGGGCTTGTCGTAGCGGACCTCTTGGGCAGCACGCTTCGGCTTTCCGGCAGGATTGAAGCTGATCTCCTGCTCACCGACGACACCACCACGTCGGGTAGGTTTCTGCCTCGACTTCATGTTCTGAGCACGCGAGCCGAAGGAACGGTCCCGAGTGGAGGTGTGATTTGAGGATGAGACCTGCATGCGAGGGGGAGGCCGCTTGGTCCTCTTGTAGTCCGCAGAAGAGATCTTGTTAGAAGAAACTGGTTTCGCGGGTCGCTCGGCTTCGCTATCGGAATCTGAATCGTCCGAGCTTGAACCAGGCACATCGTCGACGGCCTCTTGTTCGACTGCCGTCAAGCCACGCTCCTTCCTCTGGGGCCGTGTAGCAGCAGCCTCGGGAACTGTGCTGGGGTTCAACAACTGGAATTCGCGTGATGTTTCGTCGACGGCAAAGTCCCGGTCCTCGAACAGTTGGGCGAAACGGCTGTCCTTCAGGACACCAGTCTCCTTGTCCTCGGGGGCTGCAGGCGCATCGACCATCTCCTTGTCGTCCGCGCCTTCCAGCACTCGTTTGGCATGCTTGCGTTCCCTCTTCTCCTCTTCCTTCATCATTCTCTCCGCCAGTCTTCTGTTAATCTTAACAGCAACCTTCTTCTTGCCTCGAATGCGACTCTCACGCTCCTGGTCAATCTTCTGCTGCACGGTCTTCTGGCGCTGGCCCTCGGGGTTCTCGCCTGGGGTATCGAATCTCCTCTTAGCCTCCTCATGCAGCATCTTCGGCATCAGGAATCCGTGCGTGAACGGAATCAAACCACCCGAGCCAATCTGCTTCTCAATGCCCCACTTGGCGACCTGCTCAGCAGTAACAAGCTCGTAGCCATCGAAGACAGTGCCATCCTCGGAAGTCTTGAACGCGTTGGGATCATTAGGATCTTCAGCCATCTCTTCAACCATGTTGTCCAAGAAGGAACACCATTTGGGCGCAGGTCCGAGCTGCGGTACAAAGAACACGTGTTGCTGTTGGCCCTCATTCGCAGTGAGGAGCATTCCACTGTCCTTGCACCAGGCCACCGAATTGAGATCCACAGCTGGCTCAACCGAGGTCCAAGGCTTTTGATCTTCGATGTCCCAAAGCTTGATGATACGTTTATCAGCTGAGAGCAGTTTGGGTTCAATAGTTGCGGCGCGTGTTGCGGTGGAAGGCTCAAGGAACTGAAGCGTGTGGACAGGAAAACCGTAACCTTGATCCTTCTTCTGAAGGGGAATGGGTGAACGAAGATCGTAGAGGTGGATAAGTCCGTTCGACGAGCCAGTTCCAAGGTTCAGACCGGATCGGCTGAAGTCTAGGGCGGTAATCTCAGAGCGCGCCTCGTCAAATCCAACTTGTGTCGGTGGTAGAAGAACAGCAGCGCGGCCCTTGGCTCTGGGATCCCAAAGCTCAACGGTTCCTACTGATGTTCCGAAAGCCAACAAATTGTGACTCTCCTCTGCAATGGCACCTGTGTTGACTGACCCTGGGTTGATTCCACCTTGCCGAGTTCCAGCACCTGCAGAGGTGAAATCATCACCGCCAACGTCCACCTCAAAGCTGCGCATGTATCGGCCTTGTTCCAGGTTCAATCGGAATACTTCTCCCATTCCATCACTATTGACACCGACGGCAGGGACCAGCGCCTCGGTCGACTGGCGGTCGTAGACGATGTCACGTCCATATCGGGGAAGTCTGGTGGTGTGGTGGAGTCCTGAGGGAGTGTGAAATTCGAGAGATCGATCAGACTGTAAGTGGAGAGACTTGGAGTAATCGGATGACAGTAGAATGAATGTAGTGTTAAGCGCAACGGTGTGACGAGAGTAGGAAAGTGATAGTTGGGGAAGGTAATGGGTGTGCATTTGGGGCTTGTAAGTTCCTGCAAAAAAAAA